TGGACAAGTTGGACTTCGTTTAGCATGAATATCCATTGGTTCCGTGTCCAGTTTTGATGTCGACACCTGAATACCACATAATTGGCAATGAGCGTCATCGGTGTCATTGGAACACTGTAATCCAGCTAAGGTGATAACTACATCAGAGTAAGATCCTCGTCTTCCACTCCACTTTTGGCTTATTTCTCTGAATTTTCCCATCAGATCACCCCAATCTATTACAGACCGCTGTTCGCAGCTATTATTTTCCCTTGTTTGATATCGATTATCGATGTACGATTCATTCGTTTTTGAAGATTGCATTTTGCCTATTTTTATAAATAACTAAGAACATTTATTAACATTTATATTAATATAAGGTTATTTCAGTATTCGTAGGTGGGTATTTTCCAACCTGAGTGCTTAGTATAAGCAGGAATTTTTCGAAATTTCTTGCTAATTTCCGCGTTTTGGGAGAGGGTAGCCGAGACTTTGTTAGATTATTTCTTTTCTAAAGGATAGCTATGAACCATTTAGAACAATGCCTAGTAAAAGATTCAGATTTTTATCTTTTTTAGTTAATAGTAACAAGTAATATTCAATATCGATCGTTTGTCAAATAATCAATATTTCTTCTAAACTTTTATTGATTTCAAACTAAATAGATAAATTCAAATGTACATTCATAGAAAACTATAAGCATTTCAAGTAAACAATAAATAGTCACACTGCATTAGCTGATTCTCTTACTTTCATTCGTGCCGTGTATTAGATATACAACTTCGAGAGAGTGTTTTATTCCGTTATTGGATTTTAAAAAATTCAGGGTATCCATGCAAACTCATGAGTATTATATTTCGACTGGCAACTATATTATTTATGGTAATACCAATAACTCACCGCGTCAGAGATGCAAAATGGACGAGACTATCTTTGATATTGCCAACTACAACAAAATGATCATTGGTTTTAATATCCACTTGGAATGACCTTATAAACAATATCGATGTAAATTTCCAATGCATCATGTTGGCCTACAGCAGGGGTTAATTCTTAAGAGCTGTTTCAGTTGCTTTTGGGATCTTTCCTATGAAATTGATTATTTATCATAATTATCCAACTGCGTTTAATGTAAACACACGAAATTTCCAAGTCAGTAATTGTAAAATAACAGACAGGCGTAACCTGGGTAATAATAAATCAAAGAAAGAGGAACGAACCATGACAGTGAAAATAAACATTGAGAGAAACGCACGTTGAAAATAATGTTTTCGATGGTTATTGAGCTTGGCTTCGTTTAGTTTTGTTATTCACTCTTCTTATAGTTGCAATTTTTGAACATGACTTATGAGCAGTTGTTTTTCAGTAGGTATTCATAATTTATATGAGTTCTGAGCTTGTTTCTTCTAATATAATAAAAATATTTCAAAACTCTTCTTATTTAAAACATTCTCATCTGAATTCGTTCTTAATTAAAATAGGAAAAGCAATCATTATGATCTCATAATACTTATTTTTGAAAATTTGAAATTCATACAATTTCGTATTTTATAACTTCCATGCATGCAAAACTATATTAATTTCGTTATAGGCTCGTCTACTTTTAATGGACCATGTAGTCTAGATTCAATTTTTCAATCGTAAAAAATTTACATGTAAACATGAATAAGAAATCTAAGAATGACCTATCATCGTAATATAGATACCAATACAATCGAATACAACATTATTATAGCAAAAGCAAAATGAGTAACTGATAAAAAATGTAGATAGAGACTGTATAAATACTCATTATATATCATATGATTTAGAAAAGAAGCGGATCATTGCTTCATGTTATAAAATTTTGATGAATGCACATATAGTTTTGACTTTTGTTTCTAGAAATAGTTCTGATGAAAAATATTTATAACGATTAAGCAATAAATCAAGTAAATATAATGATCATATATATAAATGTCCACTAAAGCTATTCTAGAGTAGGTATGTGTTAAAAGGTATGGCGAATATATGATGAATCATATAGATACCTTTATTTATCGTACATTTCTATATTTTGTATGTACAAAAACATACTAATATGAAGGAAGAGTGTATGCATCTAGGAGAAAATACAGCGTTAGATCAATTGATTAAATAATGAGAGAACGTGCATTGATGTATTTCATTGACTCAATTTTCAATATATAATAATACAAGCATTACATTTTTGTTGACTTTGAGCTAACTGAGTTGCGATTTCTATAGATTTTCGAGTCGATGTACGAACACCATTGTAAAGCCTATTGCCAATAGGTTTGATGGATCCGAGGATTGAAAATTAAAAAAAAAGTGTATATTTTTCTCATTCACTGAATTCGGCTATATATATTTTGAAAACTACGTCATTTTATGCCAGTCACCGTTGGAAAAATAATTATCAAACTTATCTATGATAACACAGGAACCATGTGATTGATTCTATTCTAAAAATGCAACACTAGGCAAATCAAATTAAATTAAATACGAGTTTTAACACGAGAAAAAGGTACTATCTTAAAGGAATTCTGAATATTAGAATGTCTGCTGATAATAATTTCTAAGTAATTATATTTTTTTAATTGTAAAATATTCATTTGTTGTAATCTTGTGTTTTCGTTCGAGTTAAACTTCATTATAGATAAAAATTTTAAAATTCTATATTATGAATATAAATAAATTCAAGTTTTGTGCATGAAATTTTTAGAAAAATGCGTCTATTTTTGATATAGCCGAAACTTTTTTCTATCGACAATTTTTTTTTTAATGTAGTCTACCTCTTATTTGCATATGACACCGTCAATATGGACTTCCGTCGCTGAGACAAAGGAATCAAGAATCAAAAAGGAAGAGAAAATATAAAAGATGAAATTATGTGTAATATATTTGTCGTAGGACACTTGTTAAAATATTTGACAAGTTTTCTAACTATGTTGGCTGATATTTGCTAATGTTTTACTGCATACTTGCTGTCATCATCCTTTTAATAGCATTTTGCATACTAGTCGTCAAAGATTAGTCATTTACTTTGTGTTATCATTGATTTTGGCCAAATATGACAAGCGGCCATCATTTTCGAACGTTCGAGCTCAAATTTTGAGATAAGATATGAAACAAAAAATAATGAAAATTAAAAACAATGTATCCCTGACACTCGTTTTGTCTTTATCAATGCAGAAAAAAAAATATATTTACTCAAAAAAAGAATGTTGTCAGAAGAAAAAAAATGTACATAGCATTTTTTTCGTTTGAGTAAATATGTTTACATTTTTTCTTGCGCAAAATTTCCAACATGTGTTGAATATAGGCCACAAGATAATGAAGCACGTAAATGTGCCTAGTTATTTTAAGTAGCTGACTGATAGCATTTTTGTGTGACCAATTTCTTCAATTGAGTATCATGAGTGCTAGTGGAAATAGTAAAAGCATTTCTCAGCAAAACATTTCGCTTGCAAAATTCATCGAAATCCTCGACTAAAACGAAAAGCAAGGAATAAAACTGTTATGCAACCATTGCATGTTGTATATTTTTCACCATATTCGAGGCCACGTTACATGATAGGTTTCTGTATAAGTAGCGCTTCATTGAATCACCCATTTCAAATTTTTTCGAACTTGAGAAAAAAAGAAAAATGCCCTTCGAACTATTTTTACTCAACCTATTGCAATGCATAAAAAAAACAACATTTAATTGGTTGATAAGAAATTTTTTAATCGTTTCTGTTGTGATGGTTCTTCTTTGAATTTCGCCATAGAATTTTTGTGAGAGCCTTCATAATGTATTTTACCTTGGCAAAAAAAACATGTGACAAACAACGCAATTAGCACTATTGGTGACGGTTGTTTTTATTTGAGCAAAAGGTAGGCAATTTGAGAAGTATCCTTGGGTATATTCCTAGGAAAGCATTTATTTCAAGTTTGATTTAAAAAAACATGAAAAATCATGAGAATTTGACTTAAAGCTGCAAGAAATATCAGACTTTTATATTACGAAAAAGTAAAATAATACTCAATTCATCCTTATGACCTCGATAGTAAATATTTTTTTATCATGATTCTTTTCTTTTTATGGACGCAAATCAGAAATTTATATTTTCACTACTTTTTTCCGTTCGTCAAATTAATAAAATCATTAAATTCACTAAAACTGAAGTGTACTTCCTTTGAGAGAATATAAATGTGACTATATAACAGAAATATCGGATGATGGCAGAAAATGAGTGAATACAAGACAATATTCATTCGAACAATAATAGCTTATGTGTCGGTACTTCAACTCAAGAAAGGTAGATTAGGACTTGATGATTGTTACAATGGACGTGATGCCAAGGCAAAGAGACTGTACCGCATGTAATAAAGCGTTCACCAACATTTATCGATGCGTCAAATGTTGAAGCATTCAATGAACGATAGTGGAATAGTTTTTATCGAATGATTCCTATCTGAATGACTAGGAATAATTTTAAAAAACGTCTCTTGAAATACTGACGAGTATTCATATTTTTAAATAAATGAAATATTTTTCTCTTTGGATTACCATATTAGAGCTGATATAGATTATTAAGTGAATATAAGTTTTTGAATATTGAGTTGCTTGTAGGCTTTCAACTTCCTCAATAAGACATTCATTGAAACGTTTATAATATGTACCTATATGTATTTTACGTCATTAGTATACGGAAAAAATATTCGAACTTGGAACTTGTAGAACCGATTTCCAATGAATTCTATTTACATAAGACTTCTATGGCGTAGTCCTTATTTTGCTCTCCCATTCTATATTATTTGCGTTGTTAGTTAACAATTACCTTGATACCCTTATTGCTCTTTGTAGCAATGATTTTGATTGCAGTACATTTTTTTTTCTGTTCTATATTAACATTTTGTCGCTTTCTTGATGCTTACTTGGTTTTTACCCACTTGCATGACCTATAAATGCAGCTGTTTGTTATTTATTTCAGATAAGACGTGCTTGGAAATTTCCAACAAACCTTCATATAAAGTACCTGGTTTTTTCCATTCAATTAACCATCAATATGTTTTGTCAATAAAAACTAGGATGTATTGGAAATTCCTTTACAGCCAATATGTATGTATATATATACAGTGCTATTCACAAATATAGAATCGCTGTGGAATTCAGTTTTCTTTTAATTTTTTTTCTTCTCCATATCACGTTTTCTACTCAAACCTACTCTATAAAATAGTTTTCGATGTGTTCTTTCAGAACCTACCGCGGTAGATTCTAAAAGAGCATATCGAAAGCTATTGTAAAGAGTAGGTTTAAGCAGAAAAGCGATATGGGGAAGGAAAAAAATTAAAAAGAAAACTGAACTCGAGAGTGATTCTATATTTGTGAACAGCACTGTATGTCGTAGGACAGGTTAAAATTCAGTTCAGATTAAAATCGATTGAAATAATTTTGATCTGAACTAGTTCGCTTTAAAATTAAACAAAGAAGATTTTANGGGGAGTTATATGACCAAAATCGATGAAATATCTAATTACTAATAAATTCTTCTAAATTTTTTAAAATTTAAAAAAATTAAAAAGTTTTTTTTTAATTTTAAAAAACTTCACCAATTCTCCCCAGAGAAATCCCCGGGGAGTCCCCCAAATAAAAAGTCCCCGGGGACTCACGACAAGGACTCCCGAGGGATTTCGTTATTTTGCGGGGACTCCCCGGGGAGTCGTCGGGGGAGAGTGGATTAGGGATATGAGCAGCATGTTGAGAATCTATATTTTTGTGATGTATAGATTGGCGATATGCCTTTTTGGGAATATAAGCTAAGGCATAAGTTTTGGTGACCTCAATTAGTGGTGAGGTGTACAGTATTTAAACTGATTCGCCCTTGGCAGTTAAAGTATTGAAGATAAAAATCGAACAAGAGATAGATTTTTGAAAAATACGATTTGTGCTGCACCTATTTTAAATTTCTACAATAAACGAGTATACCTCGAAAAATGAGTGTATTCACTCTATTTGTGTTATTTATGGACATTTTAATTATTCTAGATTTTAATATCTGAGGTTTTACTATAAATAATGAGTCAGTGTATGGTTGATAAGCCGAATTCATGGAACAGTAGATCGGATCCTACGAAACAGCTCTCAAGACAATTCTACAACAATAGAAGGCCACTGCTATCAAGCCCTATCAATGCTTTTCACAAAGCCATCACTTTATGTTCAAAGATTCGTAACAGCCCAGGTGTTCATTCAATTCATCTTATGGAGGCTTGTGGTTTCATATATACAGGCACAGGAGACACAGCTCGTTGTAGCGCTTGTGGGCTTGAGAAAGAAAACTGGACATCTGATAGATACCCATTGACTGTTCATTTAGCTGAAAGACCTGACTGTCCCTTTATCGTTTCTTTAAAGTGTTCGAAACCAGCTACCCACGCTCCATCACCATCATCATCATCATCATCGTCTTCGTCTTCGTTTTCAACTCATCATTATTCTTGCTCTTCGCCATCAGCAGCCACTATTAGAAGTACCTCGATATCCAACGAGCAGGAATATCCATCCAAACGGCTGAAAATTGAAATAACTGATGCAACCTTTAGCGCAGCTGGCCTCTTCGAAACTGATAGAATTCAGGAAGTAAGAAAGCGAACTTTTTCGCATTGGCCACACCGTAATGGTCCATCACAATTACAAATGATTGAAGCGGGATTTTTCAATTGCAATGTGGGTGATAGAGTAATATGCATTTATTGTAATCTTATTTGTCAGCAATGGACACCCAATATTGATGATCCATGTGAAGTTCATAAAACTCTTTCCCCAAAATGTATATATGTCAGAGCGAAATTATTGATAAGCGAGACAAGGCCGCTACTTATCGTTAATGAAACTGTAGTAGGAGCGACTGTGGGCAATCCCTCATCAACAGCAAACAATGATCAGCAACTTCGCTACAACGAATTTGTTCCCACAGCAGCATGCAATACTGCATATGCTGAACTACCGAAACGAACTGCATCATTTCTGTCATGGCCGAATGAGAATTTGCCTCCTGTGGATCAGCTTGTTCGAGCAGGGTTCTTTTATACGGGTACTAAGACTATTGTGACTTGTTTTTATTGTAATGGATCATTACAGAATTGGGGATCGAATGACAATCCCACGATAGAACATGCTCGATGGTTTCCACATTGTGCTTATGCTAAACAATTATGTGGTGCTGAACTTTATCGAAAAATTCAAGAATCTAAAAGAGCTCAACAAGGTTTGTTAAACATCAAAATCTCAGCAGTGTCACATATCCAAAATTTTGGAGATGCCACCACATCTCCCGCGGGAGATGCCGCATCTCGCGCGAGAGATGTGGGTGTGGGTGTGTGGGATGCGCATCTCTAAAGGAGATCTTACATCTCCAGTGGTGAATGACCAGATCTCCCGACTGTGAGTGTCACGTCTCCAGCGGGAGACGCGGCATCTCCTGTGGGAGATGTGGTTGCATCTCCAAAATTTTGGATATGGGACACCACTCCAAAATCTAAATGAAAACATTATTATAACAGCACTTTTTATACAGAACGTGCCAAGGCGAATGGATCAAGAGAGACGGCAAGCTCGAGTGGTTTGATGGGTGCTGCAGTAACTTCCAATAGTCAACGGTTACTAATACCTGATGAAAGCACTTTATCACGTCTTGTTGCTGCTCGACTAGATCTACCGATCTCACAAAGATTATTAGATAAACAATTTAAATTATCTATTATTAAACGTTGTTGGGAAGATCAACTTCGACTAAAACGTATATTATTACAACTTTCGATATTGAATCAACTATTTACTATGTCCGTTTTTATCTTGTTTTAGACGATGATTTTGTAACTGATTCTGATTTACACACAGCTTGTATGATTCTTCAAAAACAAATTGCGCATATTGATGGAAAAAAAGAAAATATTGTTGTACCAAGTATAAGAATGAAAACAATTCGAGAAGATGCCGAACGAGCAATAGCAGGTATATTGAGTCAAGCATTAAAATAAACTTTAATCCTGATTCATCTTTGTCTTTTATAGCAGCCACATCTGGTCAACAGGCTATTATGGTATCAAATGCGTCTGTTCCGACTCAATCGAGCTCGACTATTTCACCCAGTGTTCCAGATGTGGAAATGACAACAGAATTGGAGCCGCCAGGAAATGTATTAACAACCCCAAATGAATATTCATCACCAGCCACAGTACCTTCCAGTCAAGACAAAACAAGAGTAACGAAATCAACTACTTTAAATGACACTGAAAAACATCAAACAAGGGAAGCAGTGCCAGTTAACCCATGCGTGCTATGTTCAAAAGAAGAGAAACGACTTGCATGCATACCTTGCGGTCACTTGGCAGCGTGTGTTTCGTGTAGTCAATCTTTGCGATCATGCCCAATATGTCGTCGGGAAATCGAAGCTTTTGTCAAGATTTATGTTTAGGTTGCCAGATCAACAATGATCATTGTATATACAGTGTGGATTACAAGCGTGGTGACTGATCATTGGCTACAGGATTAGGCTCGGACAAGTTTCAGTCGCAACTGGGCAATTCAGTGTTGACTTCCCAGGAAGATCCCAACAACGCACTCGGTGACTGAGGTGGCCTAGGATACCAGCCGAAATGCATTGGCGTATACCACAACAGGATGGGGGCTATAAGACAGCTAGCTGATCATTGGCTGCAGGCTATAAATTACAAGAAGGATAATAGATCATTCAGAAATATTGACTGACCAGAAACATTATTTCTTTGTTTTCAACTGAAAGTATACCTAGTGGGTGTTTTGATCGATAATCTCAATTAGCAATAGAGTCAGTTTGAAAACTTTTTTTACAGGCTCCAATTCAATGTTCAGATACACCAGAAGCATGAGTATCAATGATTCATTTGGTTGTAGAATGTTATTAGAATAGCTATCCGTTCTTATGTTAGTTTCTGTTCTTAGTTGCTAGTAGTCGACTTCATTCATCGTTGAGATCAAATGTTGAATAGAAGAAAGTTTTCGGGAAATACAGTAATTTTTTTATAATTATTCTATCTATATAACATGTAACCGGGAAGGATGAAGTGCTCTTAAAGCTGTCACTTGTATTTTCGCTTTCATATTTTATTTTTTGTGCACGCCCAATACTAGTTTTAGTTTTATAATTAAAAATTAAGTGCTATCTAAACGATTCTCTACTTCCATGGATTAAGTTGAACAAATATAAAGGTGCTATATAAAAACTAACAATTAGGTTTTATGAAAAACATTCATTTATTTGATTCGATTACAGCCTAGTGAAATTCGGCTCAGATACATAAAATATGTTTAATAGAATTAGAAGCATCAGTAGTGAAATATATTTGATTCAATGGATATTTATTGACGAGTAACGTTCATCGACATCGAAAATCGATTCACTGGGCCCTCGACTGACAGCGTTCAGTAGGGGAAATACATGAACAGGACAGAAAATGTGTTGTTTACGCCACAAGTGGGTACTGAAATTTCTGACGAAAACAGAGACTAAATTGAGGGGAGACATGTAAAGGAGGTTGCAATCAGTAAAACCGGGATACAATATAAAACGAAAATGATAAAAGTTTGTTAGCGCAGCCCCTTTGGGGCTAAAGTGTGAAACTCACATATGATTTTTCGCCTAATTTACTTATACATAATGCGTGGTGCGAAATTTGGTGCAAGAAAATCAATCGGTAGGAAAAATATGTCTTATTTAATTTTTGCACGCTTGCTAACATCTGTAATGNGAAAACGAAAGACGAATAAAGGGGGGGGGGAGGATTCCGTCTCCATAGCAAACAAAATACGTGTTTGAAAATTATTGTCATGATGGAGGGGGCTCACAAATCCTTTAGATGGGTAGAGAGGTTGAGCCTTACCTAGTCATAAAAATACATGGTTCACAAATTTCGTGTGACCTGCCCTGCATCCGCCCATGGTTTGTAGCTTAATAATGACCATTCATGCCAGTGTTACAGACAGACATACGAAATAGACACAGGTGAACTACGGTTTCTAGACCTTATCCTTTCATTCTAGGGAATGTAGATCTGATCTAGTAAACTATCCGTTCTTATCAACTATTTTATAGGTGAACTAAGATATTCAGCATCCATTTAACCGTGTACAGTTAAATAAAGGTTTGTAAATTTCCTCCAAATTATTTGAAACTTCAGCGCTATTGAATTTCTAATGATATTTTATGATATCAAGTGTTCGATAATAGATATTCATAGCTCTTCGAATATCTATCATTATTAGACAGGATGCTGCGAAAAAAAATATACATATCGGGTATTTAAAAATAGCTTCTCTATGGGTGAGAAAACTACTCTTGCTGATACTTATCACGTTATGATTTATTCATAGTCACCACTATTAAAAGTTTATCACAATTATTTGAATGGTCTAACAAATGTCGAGCACACCAAAAACAATATATTCGTATACGACATATATATAGCTTTCAGACATTGACAACCGACTCATTTGATTTGGATAGAAAAGAATCTATCTTAAATTGAATAAGCTGATAGGCTTCGACAAGCTCGAGTGAGCACAGATCAATATAGATGATGGAAAAATTAGTTCTAATTAAGTTCAAGGCCATGCAAGTTGAATGTACAAAAAAATACTTCTGCAGATTCAAATTAAATAAAAGTTTTAAATTACTGTTTTATTTTCTTTTTTTTCTCTAATAAACAGTGTCTTGCTACAAGATCAGTTCACAATTTATCTACTACTAATCATCCCATTAGATTAACATACTAGTTTGATGTTTCAACACTTTTTGCTGCCTTCACCACCAAATAGGAACATTGTGAGGAAGACAATCATACGAAATACACCTAGTCATGTATCGAGAATGGTGAACAATATTTTATAATGCTTTAGTAGTATATCTTGAATTTCAATCAAACATTTTCAGTATCCTGAATAAATAAATGATGCTATTAATTGTTTGTAAATGCTGCCGTGTCGTCATAATTCTATAGCATGAATTAAGTATATGAATCACAACTACTCAGAAAGAAAAAAAAGGTGTCCTACTGAATCTTTTAGGGTTCTAGATTTTGGTACCAATTTCAGAACCATTTAAGGTTCAAGCAAAATCTGGTTCCAGCGGGAACTTTTTCCTATTTCTTCCAAAAATGGTTCTATAGTAGTAAAACGTAGTCCACCACACTCAATTAGTCTAGTACTCTAGGCAAATGTTTTATCCAACCGTTAATTTCATATTTAATCCCTTATTCCTAACCTTTACCCTTAATTCTATCCTTAACCCTAATTTCTATTCATAACCCTTCATTCTACCCTTAACCCTTATTCATAGCCTTCACCCTTAATTCTATCCTTAACCGTAATTCCTAATCTAAACCATAATTTTTATCGATAACCCTTAATTCTACCCTTAACTCTTAATTCTATCCTTAACTCTTAATTCTATCCTTAACCATATTTTCTATCCATAACCCTTATTCCCACCCCTAACCATTAATTCTATCCTTAACCCTAGTTTCTATCCATAACCCTTAATTCTAGCCTTAAACCTTATTTCTATGCGTTATATTTACCTAGATTTGTGAGTAGAATACGAGCTAGCACTTTCTCCGTTATTCGCACGAAATTGGCATCGCCGTTAGTTGATGTTGAGACCATCCTAAACAAAAACAAAACAAGAACAGTGACTTATATTGTAAGATTCAACTTACCATTAAATGAATTGTTCGCATATGCCTAAAATATTAAAAGAAACACGAATTCATTTTATCATATGAAGCTTGCATTTCAGTTGAGTATTCATACATACCTAACTACAGAAAATCTTGAATTCATTTTATCAGATTGACATTACCTGTCTATTCATACATGTGACATATCGAAAAAGATAAGTGAACAATCACACTTCAAAATATGCCACTAATTATTGAATTCATTTTGCAGACACAACTGCCCAGGTCTACCATTCAACTATTGTATACATGGCATCGAAAACACCATGACTGGCGGATTCGGATTCCTGGACATAGATAACTTATTCCGAACTTCAACCAGAATTTAGATCGGAGTTGAAATACAAAGTCTAATTTTAGAGCCCTCGATTTTTTGATGGAGCCAATTTCTAATCATTGGGAGCGTTGATCGAAAAAATGATGGTAGATTCAGATTAATCGATCTCAGTAACCTATTTGAGATTTATATTACTTAAATCACGTTCCGAAAATATAGTATCTTGCTTCAAGCCAGAACCATCTTTGAGAAAATGGTTCAGCATTAAAAAAAATGGTGCAGGACGGAACTTTTTCAGTCATCCGGAACTATTGAGGGTCTGAGATGGTTCTTTTAACTAGCTAGAACCCTCGATGGTTTATTAATGAGTGAATGAAACCTTAAAAGGTTCAGTATCTTGGATAGAACCATAAATAGTTCCATATAACACCATTTTTTTTTCAAAGTACCTTCTTCTTAGGTGCAACTGGTCAAATTGGTTCGAATTTGATCGGTTCTCGATCCGAATCTGGGTTTACTTCGAATTTTTCTGTTGACAAAATTCAGATCCGGATTTAGACACAAATTCTAAAATTCGAATCTGATCGACTTCATTTGAGACCTAAAGTCAATGATAAATTGTTTTTTATGAGATCAATATGAAGTTTGTTTGAAGAATTGTTGTCTATAAATTGTATGCAGACCAGAACATCATAGTTGGTCACAAAATCAAAATCAAGAAGTCATTGTTTTTGGAATGCATAATTTATCATAAATGCACTGAAAAAAATGCGTTCGATAAGTTGTTTGAAGTCGTCTGTAATCAAAGTGTCGTTGGCTTACAATACACTTCAGGAAGACACAGAAAATTATTCGATTGTATGTTTTGAAAGTTTGAATATTATTTTCAATGCCTATGACTAAAGAACGTGGTGTAATGCAATCTGTGATGAGACCAATAATTCCTAAGCTTTAATGCTAAATAATTTTTACAAAATTATTAAACTAAGTTAAAATGTGTTTTAAATAAATATATTCAAATTAGGCAGTAGAGTTCAAAAATGATGTTTCAAGCTTACACGACCTTACGGATGCAAGACGTTCCGTGTGATCAAAACTAAGTTCATAGCAGTTAGAACTGCACTTTTCCTAAATTGCATTCTACGCCACCCATCCAAATAGCTGTTTCGACTTATTTCTTTTACTTCACTAATCAAAATATCAACATACTGAGATTAATGAAGCGGCAGGTAGTATTTTTCGATAAATTTATTCTTGTGAATTACTCAAAAATTCAATTAACATCCCAAGTAAATGATAATGACTAGGCTTCTGCTCTCGCTTTATTCCATAAGTATTATAGCTACTCATGAACATGCCATTATACACAAGCAAATCGACTGAAAACTTCCATCTACATCAACAAACAATTACAAACATCGCCGAAGGTAAAAACGTCCACTCATATTCATTTGAAAACCATTTTCTCATCGCCTCTCTACGTTGAAAAAATATATCGGGTATTAAGTATGTATTCACGAATACAATTATTTTTATTGCGCTTTCAAGTGCATTAATCGAAACACATGAATCATATTGCGACTGCCACAGTATTTGGAGAATACATAAGTCTGGAAGACAATATGCGTCCGGTAGATGCGAAGTTGCTTTTCGGAAGATCAATATGTCTCTTATTTCATTGTTGGAGAACGTAATAAGTGTTATTTTTTAACCATTCACTAAGCATCAGCATTCAATTATTAACTCCTATGGAATTTGCATTGAAAAAATTTCCAACAAACCAACAACACTCGAAGAAATTGTTTTCTCTTTCACCTAAGAGCACTTTCCTCGATTCACAGAATATTCAGTTAAGTGTTCGTTTCGTTTTTCACTTCCGCGTACACTTCCTTTTCTCTTAATTATTATTTCTGTTTATCCTTCTTTTTTTCCAACCGTTCTTCCTTATAAAACGAGCTATACTATAAAATGCCTAACTTTCAGTCATTTAAGTTTTAAACATTATTCCCGGCTGATAGGGGACAAAAGATTATATGCTACGCGGTTTTTCACATAAAGGAAATTATAGGAAAGTGGCTCAAGTGTCATTTCAAATATGTCAACAATTAGTCAAAAGACAAAGATTTCACTCGAATGTAGCTTTGACCTTAGCTGGATTACAGTGTTCCAATGACACTGATGACGCTCATTGCCAATTATGTGGTATTCAGGTGTCGACATCAAAACTGGACACGGAACCAATGGATATTCATGCTAAACGAAGTCCAACTTGTCCATTTGTGCTATCACGAGTATCTCACAAAAAAACGAACGATGCTTGTGAATCAGTACCAAGCCATGAAATCAACAAAAATACTGTTGACAAACAAAGCTACACACTATGCGAAGTCGAGATCACAAAACAAGTACGACAACGTACTTTTTCACATTGGCCTCATCAATTATCACCTACTAGTTCAGAAATGATCGAAGCCGGATTTTTCAGTTGTAATATTAGCGATCGTGTCATTTGCATTTATTGTAATATTATCTGTCAGCAATGGACTCAAAATAGTCATACACCATGTGAAATTCATAGAACACTTTCGCCCAAGTGTCCTTATGTTATTGCTATGTTAGCTCGTCCTCAAACAGCAGCTATTTTAGTCATCAACGAACAGCGTGGTACTGATCAATCACTAGCCTCCAGTAGAGCAGATCTCCTTCGATCGAATCCCATAGTTCATGTGAAGGCTTGCAATTCACCTTACATGGAAATCACACAACGACATGCATCGTTTGAAACTTGGTCGAATACAGATTCACCATCTGTAGACGATCTAGTGAGAGCTGGATTCTTTTATACTGGTAATGCAAATATTGTGACTTGTTTCTATTGTAATGAATCTCTTCAAAACTGGGGTCCGAATGACAATCCCACAATTGAGCATGCACGCTGGTTTCCATGCTGTGCCTATGCAGAACAGTTGTGTGGTGTTGAGTTGTATCGAAAGATTCGAGAGTCCACACGAATTCAGCAAGGTATTTTCTTGTATCTTATTTGGCAAAAGTGAAAATGATAGACTTTATTTTAGAGAAAGCGAGAGCGAATGATGCAACCAATGGGTCATCAATGAATTCTCTAAACTCAAGCAAACAATGTTTGTTGATACCAGATGAGAGTACTTTGCCACGGCTCGTCGCTGCACGCCTCGATTTGCCGATATCACAAAGGCTTCTAAATCAAAATTTCAAACTGTCAATTATCAAAAGATGTTGGGAAGACCAACTTCGATTGAAACGTAGGTAGGCAATTTTTTTATTTTGTTTCAAGTGACAGTAAAACTACACGTTTACATTGATTTTAGATGAAGATTTTATGAGTGATAGTGATCTATTAATGGCTTGTATAATTCTTCAAAAACAAATAAAACATATAGGTGGCAAGAAGGAAAACATACTCGTACCATGCATAGTTATGGAAAAGATTCGAGAGGCAGAGCAACTAGGTAATTAATGAAGTAGTAAAATAAATGAAGATATTTGTATAGATACTATTTTAGAAGCTCATGCGCATAAAAAACCAGCATCACAGCGATTTTGTAGTAATCCATCAGCCAAAAGTGATGTTGAAATACCAACCTCATCATCAGAATCAATTCGAAAAAATGTCAATTCTGGATTTTTCAATCCGATTAAAGAGGACCCACAAGAGAATAAATCTCAAGAAAATGGTCACTCTAATCGTAGCCAGGAAAATAATCAAACATCGGTTAATCTGTGCGTGTTGTGCTTAGAGGAAGCAAGATGTCTTGCAAGCATGCCATGCGGTCACCTATCTACATGTGTGCCTTGCGGTCATTCTCTGCGCTCTTGCCCTATTTGCCGTCATGTCATTGAAGGTTACATGCGAATATATCTTTGAAATCATACTCATAGAAATAATTATACCGTACAATAATAGGAAATTTTGAATAAATTATATTATTATTTGTGTTTTTTTATTGTCGCAATCATAATCGCTATGATGCGGTATTTTATTAACTCGTGAATCATTTATTTTTGGAAAATTTCGAAGTATGACTTTTCATAACAATCTATCGGGTGGCCCATAAAGAATGAGGGTTTCACTGTTTCTTCAATATCTTAATCAATTTTTCATATTTTTCTGTTCTCTTTTTTTCGTTTAATAGAGAATTTTTTTCTCTACAAAAATGGTCTAAATTTATTTATTTAAACAGTTGCCATTAGCTGGTTTCAATCGATACAATCGATTCGTCCAAGATGCACAACTTTCAAAAACAACTTCAGGACGGATTTTCTTCACACTACGTTTCAGCTCATGGATAAGAGCCGTCTTGGATGTCACCAGATCCCAGTTGATAGCACCGGCAAATTCATCCCAAATACAATAATCCAGGGGATTTAGATCAGGACTATTTGGAGGCCAATGGTCTTTGTCAATGAAACATGATAAATGAGTTCGACACCAATCTTGAGTTTTTCGGTGAATATGCGGCCTTCCTTCATGTTGTTGAAAAGTCCAGTTGTCGGCGAACATGTCGTTTCCGAATTTCAGAACCACAGGGGGTACTTCTTGTATGTACCGCTCATGATCAACTGTTCCATTTTTAAAAAACACCAAAGGGGACAACCCTTTGGAACATGCTCCCAGCCAGACCATAACGTTTTTAGGAAACTTCTGTACCTGTCTGATACCACCTTTCACATCAGCATCAGCACGACTTGGCGCCCAGATTCTCTCGTTTTGGAAGTTAATAAACTCTATCACTGTCGAACATTTTTTCGTCAGAAAACAAAAATCTCGAAGTGTCCTCTTTGCGAAAGTTCGTTCGTATCCAATTTGCAAATTTTAATCTTTTTGCTTTTTGGGCTTCAGAAGTTTTTGGCTGGGCTTTTTTCTTGAAAGATTTTAGTGTTAGATCATCTTTGAGAATTCTCTGAGCACTTGTACGAGATATTCTCAAATCACGTGCAATTTTACGGCACGAAAAAATTCGTAATCGATCATGTCGCTTTTTTACCTTCTGTATGTTTGCTGCAGTTCTTACTGTTGTTGGACGACCCAGTGATCTCAATAAAGTAATCCGGCCGGTGTCTCGAACCATTTTGCACCACCTTTCGACGGTTGATAAGCCTACTGAACCATGAAGATCCTCATGGATCATAATACAAGATTGTCCAGCTTTATATTTTGAAAGTACTATGTTTTGGAGCTCTTTACTCTTCATACTTTCGCACCAGAAAATTGTACAATGGCACAAAATGTGTACTTATGAATTTGTAGAGAAGAAAATTCTCTTTCAATTGGGAAAAAAGTATTGGTAAATTGCGGATAGTTTCCGAGATATCCATGAAATACTACAACCCTCATTCTTTATGGGCCACCCGATATTATAATGGCACCCGTCTGGGTTTCATGTTTGCATCTACTCATTCACATAAAGCTATAATGCATGATATTCTCACTATCTTTCGAAGGTTTATATACTTCATTGACCCAAATTCAAGCTTTCTGCTCAGCTGTTGAATTTGTTTTTGGCCTATTGCCATAAAATTTTGCATTGTCGAATTTCACCATCACCAAAAATATATGGTTAATTTCAAAGAACACTATTTTCAAATTAATTCGCCTCATAAAAAAATAAGTTTCGAAACTAACTTGATGTCAATTCTCAAGAAAAAAAATAAATTATTTCGAAGCAGCTTCTTGTGCTGTAAACACTGAATATAGGTCGGCGACCCAAGTTAGCTGTCAAAGCTTCATGATAGTTTCAATTAGTAAAATAAAATGCACTCGACTAAATGACTTTTGCTAGGGTGTTGTGGTAGTGGCATCAAAAACATTTATCAAGGGGGAAAAAAATTCATTCGAGTAGTCCAGTTCAGTGCGATCCGTTTGAATAGCTCAAAATGAGTTATTCTCTTTGTACTAATTTGTGTAAAACGTACTTGAAATATTGAAAAATATAGAAAACAAAACAAGGATGAACACAGTTTATTATTCTGAATTTATATTGCAATGTTACTCGATCGGCTTTTCTTTTGGACATGAACCAGATGTACGAAGACAATCATTCTTCAAAGTATCGATATTTATGTTTTTTTTTTCATAATCCAAATCCATTGCAATATTTTATGATTTGGTTCGCATAAAATGATCTGAAAAACAAAAGCGTATAATTTACTAGTTGTTTTCGATTAAGATGAATTATATCCTTCAGTTTCATTCTTGAACAAGTGAAATGACTGTATGAAGAAAAATTAGATTTATCACATATCTACTATGTCGACTATTTGAACGGAGTTCTCTTCTGTTTCAATATTACCACTCATGACTATTCGCATTGTCTTAGTACAACTTGAAATTATTTTGACGAATATGGAGACCTAGATTACCAAGATCAAGAGTCAGTTGGTACACATAGGATTAATACACTAGGACTGATTTATATATCAACTAATACGAATGATAACTATTTACAAAATGGTAAGAAAGCAATACCGAAGGATAGAGGCCATGAGTATTGTGCAGATTAAGAAACAGATATTGGCAAGAGAGATGGAGGTGATACTCACTTGACTCACATAAAATATGAGTATAACTGGAGTGGAGCTGAAGTTCAGATGAATCTACGTGAATTACGCACTCCAGCAGGTGTATCTCTCCCATCATTGGTAGAACTACAACCCACCGTTGCAGATGTAGATAGTGACTGTAGAGAAAAGGTTCATATCTTATTCTTCTTTTGCAACACAATACCATTAACAATGAGTTCGCAGAATATTAATAGTAAGTGTAATAAAGTCGTTGTAGGTCGCTACAACATATTATTGTGAGCTATCTCAGTAACACGAAGTGTATATGTAGCAATTAAAACCTTTAGATTGGCTAGATGCTGCTCTATCACCATTACTATTTTAGATACCTATTTGTTATAAAAGAACCGTCTCATCATCCACTATTCCAAAAATAGATTCCATGGGATCTTTGTATTTGAAGAAACCGCAAGCAGGCTGTGATATACCATAGCCAAGTACACGTAATTCTGCTGGACTCAACTGGAGTTCTTTGCAACGTTCAGGTGGTACTGCTAAGTATTCATTTTCCGCTTGTCGATAAAATCCTTTGGCCATAAATATACCAGCTATTTCGCGTCGCTCATCTAGAGTTAGATTGGATCCTCCAGCATGATATAGATTTCCAACAAAGATGGCTGCATCACCCGGCTCTAATTCAGCAGGGATAGCTTCTTCGACAAGAGATGCTCGATTTGAATCTTCCCACAAATGTGAACCAGGAATCACAAGAGTTGCTCCATTGTTCTTGTGAGTTCGACTAAGGGCAATAATACAGCCTATCATCATTGGCCAATCGCAAGGCCTCGCGTGAAAATCTGTATCATCCCTATGAAGTTCCTGTTGCTGACCACCGGGATTTATACGGAAGCCAACCGTTGATGAAATTATTGGCTTTGATTGAACCGTTTTTTTCTCTGAGCCGACATAAAAAGTATACGTCGATGTTAGCAATCGATTGGCCACAGATAAAAGTAATGGATTCATGGCCATGTCGATGCAAGCCCGTGAAATGGCAAAGAAACCCATGGCTCGTTGTGTAGTCGAAGGGAAAAAACCTGATTGATCAATTGTATCAGAATCAAAATGTGGTGCCAGGTCTTGTTTCACTTGCTCAACATGACTTCTTGTGTACATTCCAGTAACAATAGCTACGCCATCACGTCGAAGACATTCTAAGATCTCGTCTTCAACATTTTCTTTTGCTGCCGGTATCCGCGCGATATTTACTGTTGCGGTAGACATAGAATGAGCGAGCGAAACTAATGGAAAATCTTTTATATCTTCAGTTCATACAAATGATAAGACACGACAATTTTAAATAGTCACATGATCTCGCATACAAGATAACAAAAAGAGAAATTTATCAGTATTGACATTTGTCATATGCGGCACATAGCATGGAAATATCTCAATGTAATATTACAGTGAGAGTGTGTGTGATGATAAAGGTGGATACTTACGAGAGTATGAATGATGTGCTATATATTTTTAAATGATAATAAGAATGATGAAATTAATTTCAATTGATACAATTGCTCTTACGATCTTGGTAGAAAATATTGAAAAGAAAATCAGTTGCAAGCACATATATATGTCGATAGCTAGAGGTCAAATGTTTACACAGTACGATTAGAGGTGTAAGCCGAGCGGTTGAGCCGCCGCCGTCGCCGTCATATAAACAGGAATACTAAATTTTTGAATATTTTCGATACTCAGAAGCAGTCTTCCGGATTGTTATGATCAAATTCCTAATAAGAACGTTCTATATTATCATTTTTCCATTTTCTGTTACATAATTCTCAAAACTACGAATATTGTTAAAAATAGCTTCTAAAGATTTTGAGCGCCGCCGCCGATGACTGAGGCATCGGCTAACACCTCTAGATACGATCCACACTCACACCGCTAAAATTCTTCTGGTGGTTTAGTTTGTTAAAAAATTTAGTCACCGACGTCTAGGTTTTCTTTGTTTCTATCTTCTATAGCTAGCTATTCGGCATTTTTTTCTGTCACCTCTGATCATCCAGTTTTCTCATCACTTACATCTTGCAGAGTAGTAAAAATAAAGAGGCAACTTCATAAACAAAATAAATTGTACAGGTGCCACATATGAACGAACGATTTGTTCGATGGAAAAAGGTAACACTTTGTTTCGAAAATAATTAAATCCAAAAGTACTAGTGCGTTAATTTTATTTGAAAGTACCCAAAAACATGATGTATGTTATTTCGATACTTAGACATAGATAAATCGTAGGAAAATAATTCATTTTCCACTATATCAATTTTTGTAGGCACTTTTGTTGAATGAAAACATTTATATGACGAATGATATCTTAACAACTGTTAGTTCTAGAAGCTCTTGTGCCTGACAATTTTTTTACTTGGATTTATTTTCTTTTTTTGATTTTATACTATCAAAAATTACAGTAAATTTACATGATCGCAATTGATTTTGCTGTTAGAGGACAGACTCACTCGAACAGTTTAACAAAGTAAATAATGTGTAGGACGATCAGAAAAAATTGAAGATGTCGAAGACAATGAATTCCGACAGCGAATCTTTTCTGCAGTAGTCTGACCAGTAGAATTTTAAACAAAAGAAATATTAATGCCGTGATATCGTGCATTAGAAGAATAGAATGAACAGATTTCTATTACAAATTGAGTTGATATGAATTCCTATTTTTTAATGGTAAGCAATATAGTATTTAGTATTGTACATGCAAGCAAGACAAAAAAAAGAGCGAAATGGATTTAAGAAGAGAAACTAGCCAAAAAGCTATAGTGATTGAAAAATTTGTTTGTGCGTGATGTTCGGCAATCAACGGATCAGAATCTTTTCTTTATACCCAACACTGTGTTACAGTTTGGGCAGCAGTGCGTTACATCCTAGAAAAGACAAGCCTGCGAAAAATAAACGATGTAACATGTGCATACCTTCAAATCATCGACACAGAATGGAATGAGGCAACATCCAAGCCAGCAGCCGACAACTACGAGCGCTAAACAAGCTACCCACACTGCCAAACCATTTGAAAGTTCGGTACGTGACACAATGCTTTGATGACATTTTGAACATGTACATTGAACAGGTAAACTGCCTAACTTTGGTTGCATAACAGTTATTATTTGTGTCACTGGTGGTGTCACCGGCGGTACAGCTTGATTCTGTTTCGAAGGGTCATTTTTCGCATTGTCTGCTTTTGAAAGATAAAGATGAATGATTGTTTCTAGAGTAGCCACTTAGATAGATACATATGCTCAAATACGTAGTTGAAATGTTAACTTCTGTGAATTAAAAGATGCTACGTTATAAAAAAAAACTCGCCTCAAACTGTCGACATGTCGGCCGAATCACAGTCAAGAATCTTTCATCGAACTTTGGAAAATACAAAATCTGAACAAAATGACTTAACGAATCTAATCTTTTAAACAGTAAGAATGAACGAAGATGATACTCATATTCGGTTCTAGTTATTTCATTGTTCACAATCTGATCTAAGATAAAGATAAAATTGTTTTTATTTGAACATAGAATATAGTTCTTTGAATACGTAACTTTAATATATAAACCTGTAAAATCATCATTTACAAAACTCTTCGAGAAGATTTAAAGCGATAAAATCAAACTCTTTACATGTTTCAATGAAATATTGTTGATTTATTTATACATGCGTATCTAATTCGTATAATCTAATTTTTATGACTTGGATATCATTTTAAGTTCATGCGAACAAAGGTTTGAATAGTTTGCTCGAAAATAAAACAAATGGTCATTGATCATGAGAGAAAACATTAAAAAAGATATTCATGACAATTTGTGATGAGTCGTAAAAAGCTAGAAACGACCTACTTCAATTAAATCAACTAGCAGCTAATCGTTATAAACTTATAAAGTAATACTTAACAACTTGTTGAATAACTTTTAATAGATTCAGATATTCCTCATAAACTTCAAAAACGTTTGACTCTCATATTATTGTTGGTTCTCGACTAATATGGTTAGAAAAAAAGTGATCGTCTTATTTCAGCAATCTATGATAGGGGAGAGAAGGGAGCTGAAAAAATTACAACTATTAGCTACTACTGAAATCGAAAGTATTCGTAAGTTATATGGAAAATCCGCATTGAAAACATCAATGAATAATCGATAAATATTATCTCCTTTCTGATTAATGTCAAACTACACTGTATCCCCTATATGCATGATGATAGTAAGTAGTCTTTCTTATTACTATCACACGAATTTTCTTTCGTAAATCAGAATACTTTATTAAAGTAGTAAGAATAACTTAACTGAAAATACATGTCAAAAAATCTTAACTTGAATCGATTATACTATTCAATTGTGTGATTAAAATCTATACCGAAAATCTAAATCTTGAAACGTAAACAAGTATACCAATATAAAAAAAGAAGCATTTCTTCTCAGCAGATATCTAGTTTTTACCATATGCTGGAGGTGGATCTACTGACTGTTGTACAACTGTCTCATCAGCTGAGTGTTCATTTGCCGAGAGTGGATTCTTCGTATAACGTGCTGTTGTTGTATTTGATTCTGTGTTATTCATCTCGCTATTATATCGAATGGTTTTTTTTACTGAATACAAATCATCAATGAATACACGAAAAAATGCAAGCCGATATATTTTTCTTTTCAACACTCCTCTTCATTTTTTGTTTTCTTTTCTCTACTTGATATCCTGAATACTGGTTGATGATGTGTAACGAGAGTATGTTTGCATTGCGCCTCATCTATCTTTCGCGTTCGCAATGCATAAAAAAGACAGAAGATATCAAAACGAATCATCGACTAAAAATCAGTTGAATGCATCATCACTACAACATAACATGACTCACCAAATGTAAGAGGACGATATTACGATGTACATTAACAAGCAAACTATTGCAGCGCAGAAAAAGAAATCAGAGATATGCTTCGCAAAAGATATTAATTTCGGACAGCTTCAAAAGATATTATTTCCTATTCTGCAGATATTGAAAAAGATTTCTAGTGATGACTTCACTTCATCGTCTAATAAGACTAATTTTATCAATAATAAACAATATTTTATTTTTAAGGTATAGCACTGGTTATGTTTTCGTGGTCGAAATACAGCTCAAATGTTTGCCCTAATAACATCTATTTCGAATGATTTGCGTATATGAATGTCGATATACTAACTTAGTATTGTTGTTGATGCAAGTGTATCTTAGGGAAAAATTGTCGTGCAAAATAATAAACAGTTTTACAATTAAGAAAATAGTTTCTTCATCTCTATTATTCATAAAAATGTATATTTTCTTTTATTGATTACATATTATTAATAAATTCATGCCAAGTAAAACCTTGAAAGGTCATAGGATCTATTTTCTCTCGTAGTTTTGTTTGGATTTGTTTCGAATACTGAAAAAGATAAATTTTACGAAGCAGTAATGTTTTTGGTGACCCATTTGAAAATCGCTATTACTTCTATTACAGATAAAATCAAACCAGTGAAAAATATTATTTACATCAAATATTTTTACAAAGCTTCCAACGATTAACTTTTTATAGCTAATTGTCAAGGTCATCGAAAACAGAAAGTATGAATTTTTCATGAGTAAGCCAAGGGGAAAGCATAGAAGAAAAAAATAAGAACAGAATTTGCGTTAGTTTATACAACAACTGTATTTCGTACTGTATTAAAATTGGTTTACTGATTTCTATGAAGATATTTTCTTCCTTTTTTCTACCTAACAGATTCATTTCCATGTTCGATGGTGTATGATTCATTTGTTACTCAATTAGTATTCTATCGCACAGTAAAATCCATCAAATTGTTGCACTTGTATTAAAATTAACTGTTGAGACCAGAACGTTACTGACATAAAAATGAGTCTACGAAGTTTCTTCTGATTCAAAGTAAATTTCAGGAAAAGTAGCATGCAGTTTTTTGTTTATAATGAGGGTTTAGAAGTCTAAAATAAAGAGAAGAGGCAACTCCACCTAGGAAATTCAATAGACAACATATCCACTCCTTCGTCTGAAATTACATGAATCACTGTAAAGACAATCACCAAGCATTTTTCTTTCTTTTTAGTTTAGACGAAAATCACATAATCCATGTCATGCATAAATAAATGAGGAAACATCGGATTCGCATCTGACTCTTCTGTGTACTGCAAAAACTGACGTGAGTCGATTTATATATGTTTTAAATAATTCTGAGAAAAAAGGTTTTTGAAAATATCCCTGTACCCCCCCCCCTCAGGGATGGTCTGGTCAATAATGACAATTTTTTCGATAACTCAGCCATTTCTTGACGGATTTTTCTCATCTTCGAAGTCGACTGAGATATTAATGAGGTCATTATGTGTACAAAATTTCAAGACAATTGGATAAAGCTTTCAAGAGCTATCGTGTTAACGGCCGGACACACTGACCGAATATAAAGTGTACTCACTTTTTCAGTACACAGAACGATTAGTTAGCTATTCTGTGCGTTCTTCTATAGCCGATATTCAATTCTTTTACTTAATACATTATTGTTATACTAATTACCATGAAATAAGACTGAATTATATCTGGTTGTTATTATTACCCGTATTATTCATAACAGATCCATTATGAACATGAAAACAAAACCGCACATAGACAATACTAATGTTTCAATAGTTTTTTGCTTACAGAAAATTTCTATAAAAATCAAGGAACATATTGTAACAAAATTTTCATACATTATCGATGGAATTGTATATCTAGACTTTTCATTTTGCACAGCGCGTTCATAGGAAATTTTCTATATCGTATAATTTATCAAGAGAAACTATAGGTAAATTATGATGCTCCCTTTGATGTAAGAGATAAAGTTATAATTAATATACATTTATTAATAGAAGATAGTAGAAACTAAAAAAGAGGTATTGCATATTATTCAATATAATTGAAACTTTAAGTAAAAACACTGTATAAGTTAACTAACTGAAGAAAATTCAACTCTTTCACATTGATGACTACCAAATATCAAATAGGAAAAAACGAATTATTCGCGTACGGTCGTGCAATACGAAGAATCTATTTTTCATTCAAGCTATTTACTCAACAGTAATTCAAGTTTTTAACATGATACTTTTTCACATTATAGACATAGTTACTGAACTGCACAGCAACTAAAAAGCATGTCTTTTAAATAATGCAAAAAAATTCTTCTATCATTGAGTCATACTCAAAAGCAACCTTTCTTCTGCAGTAGAATGAAAGGGAAGTTTTCGTTTTTGTGCATTTGTAATCAATAATGTAAATGCCTACATCGATCGGTCTATCATGAGAAATAAGATATTTAAATCATACAAGTTTTATTGATATTAAAATAATAAGAAATTCAACGGAAATGCTAAATTCGTCAAATTATTTATCATATGAAAACTGATATTGTTGCCCCTGACAATAACTATGGAGCGTGTAATAAGTAACACGATATCAACCCAATAGATAGTGATACCGAAAATATATCTCAAAATATTTTGCACTCGGATACACGCGAGCTGAAACGAAATAAAAATATTGCGGGTGGACACATACATTGTGAGTTTCTTCCTTCGTTTAAAACGTATTCAGCTATTTGCACGCCTTGATAGAAGAACAAAGCAACTAAGAGAAAGAATGAATCATGGACTCGTAATACACAAGATGTATGTTATGAGTCAATTGCAGTCACAATGTTGCAACATTGGCTGATTATGTGTTTTGCAACTCTGTTTTGTATTTATAAACTACATTTTTTTTAATGTCAACTAAATAATTACTTCCTTAGAAAACATAACGCACGTCTACTTCAATCATGGCTCAGTTGATGCCTCAACTTTATCATAATCTCATGTCAAACTGTTCAGTTGACGATGGCTTCTATTATAAAGATGCTCAACGTGATTCTACTAAATATCGTACATTCAATTATCGACTATGTTCCTACACTACTTTCAATAACCTTCCGTCTGCTTTAAATTGTCGTGGAACAATGTTCAACATCACTGATCTTGACAACGTTAAATTAGTTTCTTTGCCACCAGAAAAATTCTTCAATTACGACGAAGGTAATGGTTCGCGAGATCATGAATTAGGACAATTCGGCGATCAAATGGATAAGATTGATGGGTCACTAATATCAACATTTCTTCATTTTAATCAGGCGAATCAACCAATCGTTCTTTTGAAATCAAAAACATCGTTCAACTCTTCGCAGGCATCTGAAGCAATGGATTTACTAAAAGGTATTGTTGCTTGTTTCAACACGCGATAAGCATAATTCAAAAATTCAAACAATATGTATATCACTAATGAGTTCACGTCTTGCCGGACAATGACTGAATTGGCATTAAAAACAGAGAAGATATTCAATAGGTTTCTTTTGAAACACTGTTAAGAGAAATTATATGCAGATTTTTGAGGACTACTAAAATTTAATTTCCATACCATCATTCTACAATTTCTTACACACGATATTGTCAATTTATTTGTTATATTATATAGTTAGTAGTGTTAAGAAAGAATTAAGCGTCTTCGTTTTTCGATTCAGAAGTCTTTAGGAAGTTTCTGTATGCATCGATTTGATATTGGTAGTTCATAATTTTTGTTTGACCATAATACGCTATTAACCATTTCAACTGAATATGAATTTATTTTAGGACAATTTAAATGCGAAATCGAACGTTTAGCTCATCTTCAGTACACTATCAATATGGAATATACGTCACCTACCAATCGAATCGTTCTTGATTATCCTCGTGCTGAACTGACTGTACTCTCAATTCGGTATCATGTAACTGGTGAGACTCTATTTGCTCGACGTCTTATATCATTCCTTGGTGAAAATGGTTTTCAATCGATTCTTGAACATGTAGTTCCATTTAAATCGGTTTCAAATCAGGTACCTAAAAGTGAAATCATAAAAAATATTCGTGCTGAGACTCAAGGCGAAGGCTATGTTATTGAAATTATTCGTCCAGACGATACTTCTTATTTGGTAAAAGTAAAAACTAACAAATATCTTCAGTTACATCATTGCAAAAATAGTGTAAACTCTTTGCGACATCTATTTGAAAATATAATCAATGAGCAATCCGACGATTTAAGATCAATATTACAAGATGATTGTTCATCTTTGGAGAGAATTACTAAAATGGAAGAGCAAGTGCGGCCTAAATTTAATCACATGGTTCAATCTATTGAACAGTTTTATGAACAAAACAAACATCTTTCGAAAAAAGAGTTTGCCATCCTGATTAACAATACGCCGTCAATGAAACAATATATGTCGCTACTGATGAATTTGTTTTTGGGTAAAGCCAATGATTATAAAAAATTTGCGATAGTACACGCAAAAGATATGTTTGGAATCAATGATGACGATCAAGCATTGCCACTACTGGATAACAAAGTAGAAGAAAAAGATGGATAATAGATTGTCAATCTATCAAAGATATGATTAATTGTTTTCTATGGTTACTTTTCTTATTTGAAATCGACTGTTTCCAAATGATGTTCACAATAAAGAATTCACAGCAGTACCTTCGATACTGTGAAAGACACGCTGTTTGTATGATCTTTGTTCGATCTTAAGATGTAACAATTGACCAGTTCATAAGCTTCGATAGGCACCAATCCGATTGATTTAATAAGTGTAAGATAGCAACATGTTTTGTTGCTTGCTTTTCCAAACAAATCCAACAAACATAATCACGAGCCTTTCTCAATTTTGAAACTATGAAGACTTTGACATAATGGGATTCTTACGGACAACACGCTATGTTGGAATTGAGGATCAATCAGTTTCTGAAAAATATTGAATCATTCACTGCTCTCGAGTTTCCAACTTTGACACGTATGAACAAAAATCTTGAACATTCGTATACGAAGAAAAACAAAACTATTACACGAAAAATGCTCAATAATGAGCTTTATAAATTGATACTGCAATGAGTTAGACAGGGATTTTGGGATCTTCTATGCCAATCATATGCAGGAACATGTAAGTTTAGTGAATCGGGGTGTAAAATAAATATTCGAACGTAGAGAACACTTTTTAGATATCTCCTCTCTAAATCGTTAGAGATCTTGTTGAGACAAACAGTTGTAGAGTATGACGAAAATAATACCGAAACTAAAGTAGATTCATAGTGATTATTTCACTTCTCTGTAAGACATTGTACCGACAGAACTAGTCGATTTATTTATAGATTTCATCAATGAAAAACCGATCCATTTCATAAGTCTATAATTCAAACAGTTTTTTTTTTTGAGTAAAAACTCATTACTTCAATTCAGTCAAGACATGCAGCTTAAATTTCATATAAGTCTTAAAGTATTTCGTTGTAATAGCTTCTTCCTTTTTACGTAGAATCGAAATTTAAATTAGAAGCACAATCCTTGAAATTTTAAAAACGCAGCGAAATCAAATAAAAATCTAGTTGAAGTCATAAACAGAATGAACATAAAATCTATAGTATTCAATACGTACTTCACTTATGTTGGCACTGATATTCAAAATTAATCATCATGTAAACGGGAAAAAACTAAAATAATATCAGATTTCTTAAAAAAAAAACGAGTTCGAAGTCTTAACCTTTATTCAAATAAACGATCGTTGTTTTCTCGATGATTTATTCATAGATAGTCTATGATATTTTCGATTTCTGGTGTACAATAAAAAATCTTGTCTTCGAACAGACGCCACATAGACTTACAGTATTAAGCTAATACGGAAAATCAATTAGATTAATTTCTGACAGAAATTTTTATACTAGATTGCATGTGAAATGTCAGCCATTTCCTTGTGTCAAAATTAAGGAAACGTAAGTGCAAAACTACGTAGTTAGAAACAAAATGGAATACAACCGCCGAGTGAGACAAACAGAAAAAAAGATGATTAATAGAAATGTTCTTCCGATAAGCAATAGAAATTCTTTTTTTTCCATCAAAAATCTATTACACTAGAGTATAAAAGACGAGAATTACAACATGCTTTTATAGTGCTCATGACCGAACCAATCAAATATTTGATGTAGTAGTTGACATGGAAAAGTCGCGTCTTCGTAATATATACCAACCTTTCGTGTGAACTCAATCATTAATTGATCTCTTGTCGCACACGAAACGTCTAAAATATATGTCACAGTAGGTCTATGTGACTTTATTCGGCAGATTTTTTATTTACGTTTTGAAAAACAAATTATAGACACACAATAAGATATATATTTATAGAACTCGTGCCGAAAAATCTGCTATCATGCTAATCATACTTAGTACAAGCAATCTTTGTTTGTTCTTGTGATCATTTCGATTTGATTACAATGGCATTAATAAATATTTTACACTATTTACTCAACTAGAACTATGACAACTATTGATATTAGAGAAGCGTATGATTTCTAAAAATTTCATTGTAAATAATTGAGCTGAATAAATTCACATAAAAATGTATTGCATAAAATAGAAAGGAAACTTTTTAATCTCAGCATTCAAAATTCTTTGCTTCAATTGATCAAGTATTTATCTCTATGGAGATACGTTTAATGATTACATTTCCCTGTAGTTTGACACACGTAACAGATTGAACTGCTTTCGTCAGCATCAATAAATTAGGAGTATCTTGCAACATTCTTTATCGTATTATTAAATCATTATAACATGTATGTCACAATTTTACATTAGATGTCGTGCTAAATACAATTCAAATGCAGTAGGTTGTCGAATATCTATCAGCTTAATACTCTTCATTGTTTTTCTATTTAGAAAATACAGCGTTCATACAGAAACGAATTTAAATACGTTTTTCTATTATTACTTCATCTCTTGGATTCTACAGTGAATCACTATATTGCTTGGCTTTTATCAATTATAAGCAATGAGTAATTTGAATGTTTTTATTTTATACCAATTTAGTTCCAATCATATACCATGATAGCAGATGTGCGGGCGTAAATCAAAACTCTGAAGGAAGGAGAAAATGAAGAGTTTTCAACATAGAACACCGCCCAAGAACGGGATGTTTCATACTAAAATTTGTGAAACAGGGGGAAGTTTCAACGGAAATTTTCAACAGCAATTAGGCGAAAACGCTGTATACCCTCTTCTATATTTATGTTCGAGATTGATAGCACTAAGATAATCATGGATTTCTATGAAAATTCAGAAGATTTTCTCGAACGACTATACAATGCATGAACACCTAACAGCATGTTTTAATGAAATTATTACAAAAATATGAAGTATTCTATGACTTATTTAGATTCGAGATAAAATTAATCGAGTTTTGCTCTTTTTCTGTAGGCTAATTTATTTTCATTTGCAATATAAGAAGATCATGTAAATCAAATTACGAAATTTATCATTCCATATGTGTTCGCTTTTCTCATGCAATTGAGCCGTAGTGAAGACAAAGACATAATATTAATATGCACGATGCTTAGAATAGAATTTAACTTCTAAAGAGAAGTACAATATCTTGACTTTGTTTTCTTAATGCCATGCGTTTGAGTGCGATTTTCAACCGAAAGAAAAAGCTAAGATTGTATCTTGAAAAAAATTCCAAGTCAGATATCATATTCATGAGCCAACTGAAATAATTAAAACAAATAATTTTCAATTCATCGAAATTATTCCGTTTCGTTAGGTACTTGTTCGAAAATGGCACTTTTCAATACAAAAAAAAAGAATCCAGAATATTCTAATAGAAACATGTTGTATTCGTCTAAACAATAAATCATTCGTTGGAGAAAAAAAAAACGGTATACATACAATACAAAACTTGCGAATTGATCATACAAAATATAGGAGGAAAAGCATTAGGATGAGAGCGTAGCACCGAGATATTAGTTTTACAAGAAAAAAGAAAAGAAACTATATCAATGTTATATCGCTCGTGTCATTAGTTAAATTGGTAAGTGTTCGTATTGGTGTTGACCAAGTACCTTTTGATATATTTGTTGTCTTTGGAAACATAACAATAAGCGATAGAATAAGCCAACCAAAATAAGCAAAGAAAAATGTTCGATCGAGTACAAGTGCAACTTGTTTCCAATCGTCAGCAGCTTTATTGGATCGATCCGTATCTTCAATTTTCTGCTTCATGTGTCGTAGGTAGTCTCGAATTTCTTTTAAATCATTTTCAATAGAACGTAAATTAATACTCAATGCAGCTATTGTATCAGTTGTTGTCGTTGTTGTGCCCCCAACAGAATTTTGTTGTTGTTTTTGTTGCTGTCGATGAAAATCATGAAAACGTTGTTTAAGTAACTTAAGTTTTTTGGAAAACTCTTCCTCGTGATAATGTGGCGTTAAAAAGATTTTTTCTGGTAATACAAGAGCGCCGGGCACCGGTGAGCCAAGACGAGATGTAACAGTACAAGCTAAATTATGAGATGGTTTCGGAGCCATGCAATAAAATTGAGCGAGGTACTGCAGAAACAAACGACGAATTGATGGTGGAACACCTTGACGTCGATCACCTCGAACATAGATATGAATAACTATGGTAGCAAGAACAGCTGTGACTGACACAACAACCATATTGACACAATAATAATAACCAATTTGAGGAGTACCACCACCACCTTAAATAAGTAATAGTTAGATAATTTAAAATCTTAAGAAAAAACAAAAACTTGATCGATGCTACACATTAACGATTGTGACCACGTGATCAATCAAAATAAGACCTCGTTCAACATAATTTAATAATATGACTGAAATTCGTTATGCTATTAGTCAAACTAAAACTAGCTAGATTTATTAATGGCATATATAAGTTGTTTACATTCCTAAAAAATGCATCATGCTGATGGTGTATGTGTATATATATATATATATAGTTTAATTCGATTTAATATGATTAAATTATGTCAGCAATGTAAAGATGTAAATTAGTTTAGAATAAAAAAATCGGACGCAAACTGATCATAAACTTTCGGCGAACTTGAAAAATTCGGGTATGCCGACATGGTTCATTATTTGCTGCTATTTCAAATGTATGCTAAAGTATGATTTTGCGCCATTACTACATAGAGCTAGAAAAAAAACCCAGACAGATTATCTATAAACGTGATGTTTGAAGATCTTAATGAATTTTAATTACATCTATTTTAGTCATCTTGTTTCATCTGCTCGCTTATCATTAATTATTTCATGAAATAAAAGTATGCTATCGTGCACATGACATGTCTGCCGGTTTAATTTGCTTTCATCCGCATACGAACGAACTGTTGTTTGTCATGTTCATTTGCTATAGTTGAATACTGAAGGTCAACGTTTCTTTCTACTAAATTAAACTATACATTTTTCTACTAGAATATCGATGGCATTAAGATGTTATAAAGTAAATCTGGTAGATCTTCAATCAAAGAACGATATAATTTTCTTGCAAGGCTTTGAGTCGAAACAGAAAAATACTTTTTAAACTTTGGTAGTCGTATCTTTGCTTCTTGTCGAGCTGAAGTCAATGATTAATTTTTAATCATCATAAAACTACTTAAAAATAGTATCCTATAATTAAACTTAAGAAAAAAAGACGACGAACTTATACTAAAGAGTCTAGTCTTAGAATATCTATGATTTCTTATTGGATATTTGTTCATCATATAAATCCATTTAAAGGATAGATTAAATCCTGTTTGGTTTCTGAGAGTTGTTATGACGATTGCTAAGTGAAAAAAAGAATGATTTCACGTCTTGTTTTCAGGCTCATTAATCGCAATTATCAAAAAGAAAACATAGAAATAGAAGATAAAGTCATTAAAAAGAAACATATTCTTCAGGGAACGGTTTTAATCACATACCTGGTATTGATTCAGCAAGCAAAAGTAATAAGAGAAATAGGCCAGAAAAAATTGATATAGTTAAAATCATTTTTGCTGGAGATTCAGGTGGAATCCAAAACACGACCATTGTTGCTGCAGATAAAAGTAAACAGGGTAATATTAAAATATATCCATAAAGACCACCTTTCCGTTGAATAATCATTGTAAATGTTAACAATGAAAATGTATCATTTGTAATAGTTTTTTTTGCTTCAAGTGGTATGACTTTCCATTCGTTTGAATTTAAATATGCCGTCATATCCAAACCTGGTATATTGTCTTTAAACGAGAGAACTACTTTTGAAAAGTCATATGTCCATGAGCGATATTTTAATGAACATTGATGAATATCGTAAGGAAATTTCGTTATATCAAGAAAACAAACACTAAATTGCATTGTTGCTGGTACATAGAGAATATCACCTGTATTTTGTATAACAGCAGAAATTTCACGCCAATCTTTTAAACGTTCATCAGCATAATTGTATAAAACAACATCCTAAAGAAATTTCTTTTAAATTCACAAAAAAAGCAAATTCAATTATTTTTCTTAGAATACCGGTGTCCATATTGAATCAGCTGGTAAACAAACTGTTGCTAATCCACCGTAATCAACAGGATTCCAAACTAAATTCATATCTTGCCATATCAACGTTTTCCATGTGTTTGTTTGCATTCTTTGACCACTTGAGCCAAGATCAAACAATTGTATAAGAGTTAAACCAAAAGTAACATTAACAGGCTCAGATACATTACGTATTGGACGCGCATATATAGTTGGATAGTTACTAAGTAAATCGCGAATCAAACGTTTTTCATGTGTTAAACGTTTTGTTTTTGGTGGATTAGGTAAGGCATCAGAACCAGTTGCTTTTGATGAAGAATAATGACGATACTTGGCGTGTTGTTGATCTTGATCATGCGCTGCATTAACACCGAAACTATCTATCAAGAATAGTTTCAAATTTTTATTTAAATAAAACAAATATTTATGATAAACAACCATCAAGCTTTATTGCAAAAGTAAAATATGTTGCATGTATAAAATGCTAGTTAATGATATTAGATGATAGTTTTTATGTCTCTTCATCTCTGAATATTATGTTTCGCCCATGTTAATATTAAACTTGCAATAAAAGAATGTCTATTATATTTTAGGTAAACTTGATGGTCTTATTCTATTGAGAATTTCTCTCCGAGACACTTTTCCATTTTATGTCGAATAGAGATGATGTAATTCTAATAGAAATCTTTAGCTTTATATTTGTCTATCATATAATCATCGGGCGTTGTTTTTTCTTTATGTACAGAATAGAAAAATCAATCTAAATATCTTATTATAAAGACATCATTTTCTAAATTATTTTCAAAGCAAACATTAAAAACTAAACAAAATCAAATTAACTTTCTTTACCTCGCGAATTTTCTTGAAGAATTTTATTTGATGATTGTTCTCGCTGTTGCTGTTGTATTCGTGATGAGTGCGAAAGAACCAGAGTAGTATTAAGCATTACGAAAAATATTGTTAAACTAACGAGACATAATGATACAGTTAAACTGCATGACCCTGTACGGCCGCATTTCAAATACTGTGGGATACATTGACTAGTACCATGACTATTTGGCGATAATGATGCGTTCATATGTGTTAAATAGCAACAATAATGACACATGTTATGTTAATTGCCGTTTTGGTTAATAAATTTGTGTCTTGTTGTTGCTACAATTCAACCAAACGACTTACTAAGATATGCAAGAAAAAGAAATAGACTTGAAAAAATCTGGTCATATAAATATATTGCAATGTAATTATTTTCAGTAATGGAAAAAATGGATAAAAAAAAAGAAGAAGAAAAAGTGCCTCTGTATCAAATAGAATAACTGCACCTGATGTAATTTTGTCAGTTTCTATTTATTTCTATCCGTTGCGTCTACATCAACATCTATATTGATGCCATGAGAAGGAAATTTTGACATTCAGATGATGACGGATTTTACGCCGAAGGGTAAATTTTTTCCATTTTCTCGTTGTGCTCTCTATCTCTCTTTCTTCTTTCATCTTCGTCTATAGTCGTTGCATCCTAACTATCATTATTGATAGATCCAACAGGCATACGAAGGAAGAGAGTAGTTCAATGAGAGTAGTTCTTCTTATATGCATATGATTAGGACAAGTTTGCTCTCTCAATTTTTCTGTATAAACATCCTACGATAAAAAAAGTCAAGGGAAAGTAGATGTTTGTGTATATACTAAGTAGATTAGTAAAGAGGATAAATTGAAAGAGGATAAAGATGTAATGCCTCGCCTTTGTCACGTACTTATGAAACTTGATATATTAACACAATTAAAATAGTTTTTTTCTTTGTCTATATTTGTAATTAGTAACTGAAACAACGAGAAAGTCTAACCTTGTGTTCATTTCCGGAAGATCTATTTGCTTCATCTTGGCTACCAATAGTCATGAAATTCTCCAGTTTAAGCACGAGTTTGATCCTTCTTTTTCCAACTCAAAAAGCAAAAAAAAGGCAAAGAATAGTAAATAGAATCCGTTCAAGTTTCAGAACGCCTCCGAAAGAAAAATCAACTATGTAAATTTTATAACAAATACAACGGAAACGATGTGTATAAGAAGCTTTCCTTTTCCAAATTTTACTCTTCTAAAGATATTGATTCAACAAAAAATCGCCTGAGGTTGTTTAATCATATTTCTAATGTTAGATAGTCGCTAATATTTTCCTGTCTTCTAAATATATAAATTGATATGTCATTGAAGTTACAAATTATTATCACGAGTGTATCCAAAAATAAAAGTCTGTTTGTAAATTTTATTCGTATATAATGGGAAGATTGTTTTTCTCTAGTAGTTACCTAACTCGACTCGTTGATGCATGTTTCCAGAAAAAAAGACACCGAAGAAGATGTGTTTAATTATAATGGCAAAAAAAACATTTAACGCACACACATGCATTGTGATGGAATACATCTGTATGTTTTATGATCTTTACGAATACTTACAAAAACAAACACATGGAGATCAGAATGGCTAGACCTTTCTTGCACTTATCTTCAAATAGTCTTAGATAGTAAATAAATATGACGTTGATATCGACGGGAGTACATCAGCAAGTGTTCCCTCGAGATATTGGTTCAATTAATCTGAAAATAGAAATGCAGTCAGTACACATCCGGATATAAAAAGAAAATAAGACTTGTCGAAAAACAAAATAATCTTAGAATTTGTAGAGTAATATATATATATATATATATTCAAAATAGATTGAGAACAAAATCAATTGTAAGTTACTACAAATCACAATTACAATAGGTGAATTCATGAATAAATGATCATTACCATCGTGTGCTACCAACTGATAGTTTCATAATAGCAGCATCATGGTATATTATAGTAGAAGTATTAAACATCATAGTACGTGCGATAGATTACTATTCTTTTTGTGTCCTTCAAGAAACAAAGACCAGCGAGCACAGCACAAAAATCGATTGCGTGTCCTTCTTTTGCGTGCTATTTTTTTTTCTCCTATTTTTTCTGTTGATGTTCGTTCATCTTCATCCTCATGTTCTTTCTCTTCTTTTTCTTCTTCTTCTGCTTCTTCTTCGGTATCGGCTTCTTTCCTACACTATAACCACGCTAGATCTTTGCGTTTCTTCTACCGTCATCATCATCATCATCACCACAATTCACTCGCCCATTGATTCACTAGTGAACATTTCTCTTTACGTCTAACTATCAAACAATGAGCAGCAATAACCAATGCTAACAATCGTATTCTTGTTGTTCTCCTCTTTTCTGGTCTTGTATCTTGAACATTTTATCTTCTGTTCTCCTTTTTCCCAATCATTTTTATACGATGCTATTCGTGTAATAAATTACTAGTTACAAATCATATTAAACCAATGTAAAAAGACATTAGATAAACGAAAATAAACCTGAAGGGACATGGATGATAAATGATGCACGATCGAACCAATACTCTCAGTTGACATACATCAAATTTGTGCACTTGGTTTTATCCATAGCAATGAGAAAGAAAGTACAATGGTTTGCTCACACGTCCATAATCAAATTGAATAAAAAATGCATGTATGCATTCATCATTCTGTATTATAAATTCGTATATTATGATTAAGCATGTGATCAGCATTCTATCTATGATCGAATATTAATAGAAAGTAATTGATATGAGATCAGCATGCTCAATGAAAACAGCCATTCTAATTAACAATGATTTAACTATACTAATTATGAATAAATAGAAGAATAATATAAATGTTAACAATAATCAAGTAAGTTGCTTGTATTTCGCCAATATCAACTTGATAAAGTATTATTTTTGGATACACTCGTGATAATAATTTGTAACTTCAATGACATATCAATTTATATATTTAGAAGACAGGAAAATATTAGCGACTATCTAACATTAGAAATATGATTAAACAACCTCAGGCGATTTTTTGTTGAATCAATATCTTTAGAAGAGTAAAATTTGGNATGAATGTATATATGTAAACAATAAAACGGCATCGAGAAAGTATCGAACTCGATTGGGTGCAGCCGATGACTAGAACGATAATCGATTCCCTAATTAGATATATGCAACGCCAATAGAAACGATATAATGATAATACTGGCTACATTCAAAAAAAGACGAAATCCAACAGTATATATTTGCAGTTTATTTAATCAAATTAAGAGGCTTGAATGGTGAAAATTATTAATTGAATCATATTTTCAAGGCTACTCATAAAGTGTCATGATAAAAACTACTTTGATCAGCGCATGATGTTGCATTTGGGAAATGATGCTCGCCGATAGAAAATTCGTTGTTGGAAGCTTATTTTTTTCTTCTCGCGTTCTTCTGTTTTTGACTTTTATATACAACCATAGGATAATCCTATCATTAGTTCTTCTTCAATAAACATCAAAGCTATTTTTAATAGGCATAATTGACTCAGTTACAAAGTCAATGCGGTCATTTAATGTGTAATTGAGATTTGGTCAACTTGCTTTTAATTTCATGCTTTAGCTCTTACAATTATAAAAAGCTATTAGAATGAATGTATCATATAACTAACCAGCAAGTGCGTTTTAATTAAATTTACAAAATAAAAAGTAACGTTTTTTTAGTTCAATTTTGACGAAGCGTGTCGAAGTCATTATCATATGTTCTAGTCTTTATTTAGAATATAAATCTTTGAGTAAGCAGCTTAGTGGATCTTTTTCAAAAAACTTCGAACAAGAATATTACATTGCATGCTAGTTTAAGCATACTCAGCGAAGAAATCTTTTTTCTGAATATTACTCAAATTGAAAACGTTTTCTTTCAAGTGTCGACCAGTGAAGAAATGTCAATTTATATATTTTTTTTCTTTGGCACAAGTTTTTCCTTTACTTTTATTATCCTAATGCTCTTATTTATTTTGGCTTAGGTTCATTTTATAGTAGTAATTATCTATGTTCACAAATGACAGTTCCCAGAGTGATATGCTTCACTCTTATTTCGTGATATCATATGCAACATAAGAGATGAACTATCATGAATATTTTAGTAACTCGCTGTTCATCACGCGATGGATATATTTATCACGCGAAATGGAATTTTATTGGATGTTTTTACATGAAACTATGCGTAGTTTTAAAAGCCTCAGGCTAAAGAAAAAAGCCATTTGAACTAGAAATTATAAAAATAAATGAATCATAGAAAAGTGAATCCTCAATTCTCTATTTCTTATCGTTTTTTATACGATTATTCTATGTGAAGAGATTTTCCAATTGTAAATCCGATTACCATAAAGCATATTAGAACTTTCTATGGTTCATATAAATAAATTCTCCGTAAAATATTAAATATTAATTAAAATATGCAAAGTTACGCTTCGTCTCACCTCTTCCGAACAGCGGTAAATGTTACCGAGTGTTCGGAAATTAATTTTATTCGTAAAAATTTATGGCGGGAGTTCGTAGACACCTATGTACCGGAGATCGTAATAGACAGCTGGAAGATCGTAATGTGTTTATCAGATGTTCGGAGTAGAGTATTTTTGCTATATTTAATGTAACACTTGGAGATCTTAATAAACACCGCCGGTAGCTCGGAGAGAAATTCTAACGGTACTTAAACGTGAAGCTCGTAAAAGAATTTATCAGGATATTGTAATTGATATAAAAACTTTCTGCTCTCATAGACAATAATAGGTTGCATGTTTGATTGCATCCATAATTATATAAGTAATTATTCTTTCTTTACCTATACTCCTTGTGCTATAGTCTTAGAAGTTGTTTCTAAGGGCAGAAGTTGATTAAAAAACCAACAGTTGTCGAAAGCAACAACTGAGCAAGCTGCTCCTAAATCTTATTTACGTTCAACTCCAGCATTGAATTGTCTTAGAGTTAGACCCAGAGATCATAGTCCTGTTGCTTCGTCTTCATCTTACACATCATTATCTCAATCTGATCTCATTGCTTCAACATCGAAAAATTACACAAATAGCCAGGTTCAAAAAACGTGCACATTCATCGAAGAATAAATAGAATGATGATGTACATTAACACTAGACTCATGAATATGCGTATTTATTTTCTTTCAATAAAGTTAATATCTGGTAACAGAAAGTATTGAAGGAATAAGGAGAATAATAACTAATACTAGAGTTATTATAGCAAACAGAAGTGCAATTGTAGATGCTTGAATCCACTGAAACGTTGACTATGTGTGATTTTAAGTTGCGACTATAGTGTATCACTTCATATTTTCTCACAGGGAAACAAAGCCTGAACATAAGTGTGAAAATCGTGTCGTCTTTTGCTTATTACGGTTTCCATGCCTTTGTCATTCCGAACGTCATGTCTTTTTTTCATGTCAGGAGATCGCAAACAAATTATTTTACCAGAGTTAGTAAAAAAGAGATGAGACGAGGTGTCATTTTCCCTTAAAATATTCCATCCGATTATTTCATTAGTCGTGTGAAAAAGTTCAATTCAAATTAAATAGATATATCTATATTTTGATAGGCCACATAAGATAAAAAGGCGTTCTGCAAAATTAAACACGTAAACTTATTTTCGTTGCTTACTTCATTTTAAACGAACTATAAAATATAGATGTTCGAAAAAACAAACCTTTACTTTGAAAAATTCCAATAGATTGCGACATCTTGTTTTGTAGCATTCCGAGGTTGATTGCCAACGACACAGCGCATTACAAAACATGGTGTTAGATTCTCATATTTCTTTCATCGAGAAACAATTTGATTCATTGAGAAGAAACCATAAAAAAGTAAAATCGAAAAACAAAAGTTGACAAATGGCTGCTGCGAACAGAATGCAACGTTTGGCCACATGTCCTATTTGTTTGGATACATTTCGTCTTCCAAAAGTTTTACCATGTATGCATACATTTTGTTTAACACCATGCTTAACAAATTTAGTCGATCCACGAGCACGCTCGTTACGTTGCCCTGAATGTCGTCGAGAACATGTGATTCCACAAGGTTTGAAATAAAAAAAAATGGTCGATATAATTTTAATTGAAATTTTAATACCAGGTGGAGTTCAAGCATTTCCTTCTAATTTAACTATGATTGGATTTCTTGATATTCAACCATCAACAAATATCAATCTTCCGGATCGATGTTGTCGTTGTAACGCACAAAAACAAAGTAATCTACTCGGAGAGAAAGCTAAATGTGTTTTTTCTTTTATATAAAATGCCTTAGCTCTTGTAAATTGTCATGATTGCTCGAATTTTTTCTGTACTGAATGCCGAGAGCCACATTTACGTGAAACATTTCAAAACATCAATTCTTCTGTCAGTCAATTACGTCGTACTTTACCCGCATTGAGCGATAAAATTACTTCATATGAACAACGAGTTAATATTGTTAAAACAAATCATGAACAAATTCGACGAGAAATATCATTAGTAATAGCTACTTTAATTGATGAACTAAAGCACCGTGAGACAGCATTATTGACTGAAGCTGAAGTTTATATGCAATCACAGTTGAGGTAAATAAAATGAGTAGTTTTCATTTTCTGTATACGAGAATATTATGTTTTTCAGAACATCTCGTTTACAACAAGAAACTGGTGAAGTTGAATTAGCAAGTGTAGCAAGTTTTTGTGAATCAGTAGGAGCAGCATTTGCGAAGTAAACTTTTACTTTGATCTGTTTATGATTTGATTCATTTATTTATTTTAAAAAGTGGACAATTTGTCACTGATGTTGATTTAGCAAATATGCGAGCACAATCTAATCGTTATTCACAACAAATTCAAGGTGTACAAACACAAATACCATCTGATGTGCAGAAGGTGAGCAGGTAATGAATAAGGTCATATGCATGATTTAAAATATATCTATATATTACTGACGAAATTATCCAGTTAAGACTTGTATTTAATGATCAAGAAGCTATTTCTTCCGCTATACAAAATTTCGGTCGATTAATTGATACATCTCAAGAACAGCGATCTCAAATTTCAACAAATCAAGTTGCTCAATTCCAACAACAACCACAACAACAACAACAACAACAACAACCAAGAGTCTCTACTGTATTAAATCCTCCATATGCCACAACAGAATATGTTACACCATCAAGAAATCCATCACAATGGCAAGCCCAATCTCAAAATGGTCAGTGTAAGTTGTTTGAATGACAAGAATTTGCTAGTTTTTCAGCCGTCAATTTTGTTCAGACCGACAGTTAGAAAATCTTTATTATTCTCGGGGTAACATAGCATCACAAACTCCTCTACTATCACAAACTATTGGTTATCTCCCTACGCAAATCGGTCCTTCTCGCAGCGCTAATAATCTATTTGCTGATCTGAATGCAACAGTACCTGCTCGAACTAGTACATCATCCTATACAGCTTCATGGGATCCACAAGGACTTCATCGTTCAACATCTACTGCTCAATCATCCTCCATCTTTGGTTCAAATCCATTTGCAGCGGCTAACAATCGACAAACTCAGCCACCGCCACCACCACCACCACCAGCACCATCAGATTCATCACCCAGGCGTAACTATGTTACAAGCACAACAGCAGCACGATCGCTTGAAGGAGATGATCGGCCCATCTTTGGTGGCAGGGGCAGTGGTGGTGAAGGTGGAAGAGGTGGTGCTATAGTCGGACGAGGAAGAGGTCGAACCACCACTATTCCCTCAATTCAAGAACAAGTACCTTCAACAAACGATTTACAGCGTCAACGTACATTTATACTTGATCAACCTAGTGCACCTAATTTACCTCAATCTGGTGCTCAGAAGCCACGTGATACAGTGATTGTTCGAGACCTTTATAATGTTCGCCGACGAAATCGTGCTCAAACACCGGTGGCTTTTACTATTGATCTCAGTCAACGAGAACAAACGTCCACAGATAATAACACTGCATAAAAACATTGACTATTGAGTGTTAATCTCCGGTATGTTGATCTGCTAGATATTTCATATGCCTCCTGGATGGGTTGCTCACAGCTATACATTTATTTTTATACTTATATTCTATCCCACTCTTTTATAAAAAAAAAGAAAAAAAGAATAGTATAATTCCCATACGAATAAAACTAACATTAACCTCACTGGGATATTCACTTTAATCTTTGCTAATAATCGATTTAATCGTGTAGCTTAATTTGATTAAACTACGACAGAAATTGAAATCAATCGTAATTTAATATAACAAAATTAAACTTACCATGTTTTCATATGTTTTAACTTTATTGTCTAAATAAATAATTCGTTGTTTCAATTTAATATGTGTATCATTATGTTGTATTAATTGTCTATCTACTTGTTCCAGACGTTCGTATGCATTTGATAATTTCATACGTACTTCTTGATTTTCATTTGTTATATCTTGAACAATTTGAGCTTTCTGTTCTAGTATTGTTTCAATATGATCAATTAGGTTTTGTGAATATGAACGTAATTTATTTAAAATTATATTTTGATTATTGACAAGATTTTCAAGGTAATCCAATGATTGATGTCGTTCTAATTCAAGATTTTGAATTGATGTTCGATAATCTTGTTCACATTGATTTAATATGGCGATGATGGTATCGAGATTTTCCTCACGTGATTTTTCTAGACTTTGTTTAACATGTTTTAACATAATATTCTTCAAAAATAAAACAAAAAATGAAGAATATGTATTTTCTAGTAAATCGTTTTTCGACATAGAGAAAAACAAAATTTTCGAACATTCAATGCAATTATCTCTGCATTAGAGAATCGATCAGATTTTGTTTATCAAGGAAGCATAAAATACATCTCAGAAATTTACAACACTCTAAATATATTTCTATGAGACAAATAATATTGACGTTTTGTTTTGCTAAGAGCTGTGAAATAAGGAATAAAAAGTTTTTGAAATTATAGGATGCATGTCAAAAGTAATCAACGGTCTCCTCTCTCAAGATTATATGAAACATTTGCAATCAAACAAAGCTATCAATATTCCCAAAAGATCTCTTGCGTTCTTAGCTGATTTGTACTAAGATAAAATTTCAGATCTTTGTCGGAGTTCCTATTATGAAATAGAAACATCAAATGTATCAGCGTTAATGAATGATCGAAAACGCATATTTTCTCAAGATATTCATAAACCGTTTGAGTGAAAAAATGATTCATCTGTTGAATAACTTCATTTACAAAACAGAATCTAGTAAATATTCGTATACCTCTCGTGTTAAGCGATTTATTTCTTCGATTAAATCCAAACATTGTTTCTTAGATTGAAGTAGCTCATTTTCGATTTCATTGAGTCGCATTTGTGTCGCACCAAGTTGATGATGAAGTTGAATTAAATTCTAATAGGATGATTTGTTTTCGTTTCAAACTTATTTCTTCTTACCTGATTACTTTGTGATAGGAATTTCTCAAAATCCGATCGAATTTGCACAGTTTTATTATTAGCTTGATCACGTTCGCGCATGACTTGCTGAATTTTAAGTTTAATACAGTCCGATGTCTGCGAAAAGAGTCTTTCAATTATTATGAAACTAATTGTTGAAGAACTTTCACTTGGCTGAAATCAATTTCTTGTTCTTTTATACGCTCTTTCCAAACGTCTAAATCAGCGGTTAATGAAGCTTTTTCTCTTATCAATCGATCAATTGTTAATTCATATTGTGCACACTTTTCTTCGATTTGTCTCGCCTGAAAATATAATTGAAAATTCTTTTATTTAAGACTCAATCTCTTGATTCATTACTTTTTCAGCACTTTCTTTCAATTGATCGTTAAAAAATGTCTCAATATTATATTTTTCATTCAGAATTGTTTCATTCATTTCATCAATATATTTCCGTAGTCTCTTTTGAGTTTCAACAAGTTCGATTCTAATTTGATCTCGGTCAACAATAGCCTATATGAAAGTATGTAACATTAGAAAATAGAGGAAAATTTTCACAATAAATAGTTTACTTCTGCTTTTTCAAATTGATTTTGTTCACTTATGGCAAGTGATACTTGTAACTTAGCTAATGTTTCCTGCTGTTGAATTTCAATTTGTTCAAGTTTGACTTGAATTTGCCGTAGTTTACGCTTATTAGTTTCATTTTCTCTACGAATAAATCGATAGACATCGGCTGACATATTTACTACTGATAATTTTACTTCATAATATCAGCGAATTTTTCATTATTTTCAATAGCATGTTGATAAAATGGAAGAGAAGTTCCACATTTGAGACAATAGATTAGATCGTTTGGTGCTTGTGCAAAAGTTTCATACAAATTAATTTTTTCTCTACAATTATGATAGATTCTAGCAACAACTTTCATTCAAAATAATCGCTCATACTTAGTAGCTTTCAATTCCATCTCTAGACTACGCATCTGTTTCGTATACAGCTCAACTATTTCTGACTTGAGAAGCATAAAATTTAGAATAAAAATTTAGATCAATTTTTCTTCATGACTATACTTCTTTGTTCGTTATTGGTCGCCCATCATCTGTATTAATTAAACGAAGCATATCCGATACAAATGTGCTTCGGATTTCTTCATGTAGACGATTATTCTCTTGAATGAGAGTAACAAGATTTGATTGAAGTTTTTTATTTTCATCCTATTTCAATAAAATATAACAGTAGAATAAATAATTCGTCAGAAGATTTTGCTCGAGTACTTACATGCAATGCATCATTTTCATCTTTTAGCCGGAGAGCTACTTCATCAGCTGCTTGTAGAAGAATATAGAATTCATTTGCTTTCGGCATATCGTCCGATGCCTAGAAGGAGACATGAATATATTAATAAATGTTAGAAATTTATTGACTGATGAGTACTTGAGATGGACTTGAATGACGAGAGAGTTGTGACGGAGAATCGCGAAGATCTAACTGTATAAAAAGGTCACGGAGTTGATCTACGGCTCCGGACGGTTCTAATAGATCATTTTGAGAAACAAGATAAATGTCTTAACAATTAAAATATTCTCTGCCTACTAGAATCATCTAACGCCATGTTTGTTACAGAAACAATAGAGACATCCGATGAAAAACAATAATCATTTTCTATTTCTGCAAAACAAAAAATGTCAGCTGTTTTTCTCTTTTCTTTCAGATTTCAAATTCGGAAAGAATTACGTCAATCGACATCAAGCATGTTATTTTAGCTGTTACTTGGGTACTACAATAGAGATAGAGATCATATGCATTGTATAACTGTTAACCTGTTTTGTTCTTGAACAGTAGATTTTCAATGAGCTATAATCAATAATATTAAAGATGATACAATAGTTATGAAGATGTCGCTCTGAGATTTCGAATGAACCCCAAAACAGTAGTTATCTAATTTGACAATATAATCAAACTCATATATGATAAAGTATAGTTTATGATAAATCAAATAGACGAAACATGTATCAAGATTCATGATTTTGCTTGTAAATTAAAAATAGACATCGCTTGCCTTACTTTCACGTTCTGCGAAACAGGTTAACTATAAAAAAACTGATCGCAATCATGCATTATTTATTATTGATTCTATTATACGTTCGTATTCCTTCATATTGAATAAGATTTCGAACGTTAGCTAGTTATTTTTAAGTCTCCGATGTTGTGCATTTCTCTGAACTGTTTTCTATTTCACGAAGAGTTTTAACGTTAATTTTGTATTTGAGTTCTGCAATTATTTCAAAATATTATACAATTAAATGCTTAAAGTCATCCATAGATAATACGAGAAGAAAATGTTACTCCCTCAATGATTTTGTCTTGATTCATAATCAATAAAACTTTATCATGCAATTATTTGGTTTAATCCATCAGTAGCATAGAGATGATTGAATATTTTATTTGGAATATAAATATCAAATCGGAACAAATATTTCTATTTATTAGTACGGAAAGTTCAATGTTTACTCGTGTTTTTTATCATCACATTTGTTTATAGATTATGCATGGTAATCTATATGTTGGCATGAAAAATAATCATCATGGAAGGTAAATATTATGAATAGCTAACATCAATATTGAAGCATCTTTTCTAGATACATATCTCAGCAGAGAATATTCAGCCATTTAATAGTATGATAAGTAGCTACATAAAGTGACATGGGAGACACTTGGTCCCATTTCTATTCAATAGTAATCGAATGTACATTGATGTGACTTTTGGGAGAAATTTATTGAATATTCTAATTGATAAATTCATTATGTAAGGCATTTAGGAAACAAATATTTTTATTTTATTTATCTAGAACGTCAAAACGTTGTTTCTATCATTTTTATTATTCCCATCAGTGAAAATTATTAATCCTACGCGATAGAAAAAGGAATAAAGAAGTAAAAAAAGAACATTATACATATGAAGCTAATGAGTCCCGGTCGGAAAATCTCTATCGAGTGCACTCCAATCGAGAACGCTTGGAATACTACTTTCACCTACAGACATTTCACTTTCATCACGTGCTGTCATATCACCACCCGCACTACTTCGTGCACTAACTCTTGTACCACCATAAGTATTTGTAGTCAATGTATTTGGTCGTCGATATTGAAGTAAACGAAGATCATCACCATAAGTATTTTCATTTGTTTGTTCAGTTACACGTGTCAAACTATAAGTTGTATCATCCATATTATCATCACCATTATCATCATCGAGTTCATCAAGATTGGGCAATGGTGGAACTGTTCTAGTAAATTTTTTATTAGGTGATACATCTTGATCATCGGCCAATAATTGTTTAATACGATCATCAACTTCCCAATCAGATAAGCTGGCCGAACTGAAAACAATTATATTTAAAAATAAGCTCTTTCAATGGTTCATACGAATGTCTACCTGGACGGAGCACTCGATGGACGTTGATCAAATTCTTGTTCTTGTTCTTCTTGTCTTTGTGTTGGTCGTTGTCGTTGATGTTGATGTTGACCTAATGCTGGTTGTTGCAATTCTTTCATTCGTTCTGAATATGTCTTTGTTACTCGCGGATCCGTCTTTTCATAGGGTACATAGAGACCTGGTACGCGTCGTGTACCATATAAACGCATGAGTGCTTTAGGATCAGTTGGATCAGATTTTGATGTTGACCGTACTTCACTGTCTGTCTTACTCAAAGCACGTACACGTTCATTATATGTCATTGGCTTGTGAGCAGGCGGTGATGCTTTGCGCATTGTTCGTATCAATCCAGTTTGATTTTGACTGCCTTTTACAGGAGCAGTCATTGCGCCTCGTTTTTGTCCAAGATTAGCTGGAGATGAAAGTGGTCGCTTTCGTGCCATATTACTACGAGCCGGTGGTGGACCTTTCTTTTTAGCCTAAAAAAAATTTATTAATTGATATCTATCTTATGCCAAGAGAAATTCATTTTTTAAATTCCAAAAAAGAATCGATTTACTTAATTAGGAATTCAGTCAAATTTGAAATTATGAGAAATCCTTAAGCAAAACAGACCTGAACAATAGCTTTTCCCATTGGTGTCATTTTTCGAGAAGATCTAGTCGACGATGCTGCTGATGATGGTCGTGGTAGACCTGAAGATGAAGTCGAATATTGACTTGAATTATGATTCGCATTAGATGTCGTAGCTGACATTGGTCTCGATGGTCTTCGCTCTGAATAATCATAATCGATATCAGCGTCATCATCATCCATTAAATCTAGATCATATGTACGATTTATGATTCCATCAGCACCACCTAGTTCGCGCACGGTTGATGTAAAACTTGTTTCTAATGCTTCAAGCTGAAATTCATCCAATGTTCGTGTTGTTGGTATTGGTTCACCGTGAAGAGCAGCGTCAGCAAGAGAAAGAGCCTCTTCATCACGTTTACGTAATAATCCTTGTAGTTTTCGTTGACGAGCTTCACGATGTCGCTCAGCAATAGTCGGCGATGCAGCTTTACGTGGTGTTCCAGCTACTGAATGCGATATTTGACTGGCAGTTCTTCGTGGCGAGAATGGATCACGAGGTGTTGTAGTTTTAATTTCTATTGGAGGTTCATTTGAAATCTGTTTACGTGGAGAAAATCGATTAAGAGGTTTAGTAGTCTTAGTTGGCATTATATGTTCGCTTGAAGATTGTCTACGTGCAGAAAGTGGATCATGAAGCGTAGTCGTTTTACTTGGCACTTGACGATCACTAGACAGTGGCATGTGTGGTGAACGAGGTGTAGTTGAGCGAACTGAAATAGGATCTACTAAATGTGAGTTATAATCAGATGTTGGTGCTGTTTGATGTGGTTGTCGAATGAGATAATCGAGAGGAACATCCTAACAAGTAAAGAACAAATATAAGAGAAAATACAATTCAATCAAATACAAACATATTCATCTGAACCATATACTTGTACGTTTGGTTCATATGTAACTCTTCGATGAGAACGATCAGTATCAGCATTACCAAATGCGAGTTGTTCTGCTTCCCTTTCCTCTCGTTCTCGTTGACGCTGTAAAATAAGTTCACTTCTTTGTTGCCAGTTATCAGGATTATTAACATTTGGAGGTTGTTGTTCGAATCCTAGTGGATATGATGATGGTTGTTCTAATATTTGTCCATATTGTCGTTCGAAACCAATCGCATAGGACGTTGGTGGCATTTCATTCATGTTATTACTTAAAGGTATTGATGATGGTGGGGGTGCCGGTGGTGGTTGTTGTTGCTGTTGACGTAATCGAAGCTGTTCTCGTTCAATTTGATCTCGTTCAATTTGAGCCAATAATGCATCAGCATGTGGTCCAGCAATATCAGTAACATTAACAAATTTTCGTTCATCACCTTCACCACCACGAGCATATTGTAGATCGTATAGAATTTGATGAGCTGGTAAATCAGTCATCGTTGATCGTTCACGACGGCGAGCTTCCATTGCTTGTTTTTGAATTTCCCGTGCAGCAGCATAGTGAGCTTCAGCCGATGTAAAATTTACTCCAGTAGCATCTCGTAATAGTGTCTATAATGAACAGCGATGAATAGGAAAATTTTGTTTGTTGCCTTCAAAGAAAATGGAACTTACTTGAAAAAGACCTGGTTCAATAACAAAACCATCTTGTCGAGGTACTTCGACTTGTATACCTGTGTCAACTTTCGTATCTGATGATTTAGTGACAACATTCGTTGTCGGCATTGGTATGTTTAAGCCAGTCGTGTCATTTGTTCTCGGATGTGGACGCATTTGTAATAATTGAAGACGAGGTCGATTGCTGTCAGCATAATGTTGCATTAAATTTTGCACACATACAAATTTTTGTTGGTCAGCTCGTGTAGCTCGTGGTGAAAGCGATGCTGGTGGCGGAAGTTGAGGCGCTAAATGAAGCATCGCGAGAGGTCGTGGTGGTGAAATATATGTTGATCGAGGAGGATAAACAGTAACTGGTGCTGCAGGTAATTGTAGTCGTGTTTGTGTTACTGCTATAGGTAGAGCAGAGACGGCAGGAGCTCCGAGACGAAGAAGTGGTAAACGTATTGACGGAGTAAATTGAATTGGCACAGGTGCTCGAACTTGACCGTATGATGGTGGTGGTGGTGGAATTTGTGAAAATTGTTGCTGCGATTGATGATTGTGATGATGATGATGGTCACGATGTCGACCACGAGAAGATGACCGATGACTATATGCATCTCTAGTAGGAGATCGACGGCCATTTGGATCTCTTGTAGGACTACGACGATTAGCTGAATCTTGAAATGGTGATTGTTGATGATTATGTGACTCTCGTGACGATGGAGAATGACCAAGAGGTGACTGTTTAGAGGCCATTGTTCTATTTGCATCTAGATTGAATAGAAATACATAGTATGTAATTGTTCAAGTTAGAAATCCGATAAGCTCAATAGATATCAAACGAATGGTTTATTGCATCTGTGTGGATTTTAAAACAGCTGCTGAATATTTTTAGAAATCAATCCTGAGAAACTTATTCAATCATCTTCAATAAATAGTTAGCTGTAAATCGCTGACTGATATAGCATCTGAAACAACAGTATGAGACTCATCGTATGTAGTCTAAATGAATTTCTACAAACGAATCTACAACAAAAATCAAAGCTATTCATTCAATAGAATACTAATTAATTGAAACTCAATTCGATTGTATCCTAATGGAAAACATTCACAAACCCATTCTTTCTAATCAGTTAAAAGAAACGTTCTATTACCATTCATTGAATATTTCTCTCGTTCTTCTTGTTCGAGTCGTAAAGTTGCATATGGATCCGAATCATCCAGAAAACGACGATCACTCATCGATTGTCGAACAGAATGAGGTGATTGTTGCCGTTGAAATTCATTCGTTGTTGACGGTGAAATATGTGGTATTGGACTTGATCTTTGTTGATATTTATTTTGCTGAACAGTTGGCCCTTTATAGAAGTCAGTCGGAAAATCGCGTGGATCATACGTAGGCGTTTCATCGCCGCCAGTTTCTCTTGACGGTGCACGAATATCATAACTACGACCAAGATCTCCACCACCATCAGTGCTCATCATAGGTAGCGAGACACTTTCTTCAAGTGAATTTTTTCGAAATGAAGCATCACGTCGACGAGGACTCGATGGTAAATCACTTTGTGTACGACCTGCATCATCATCTTCACTATCTTTAGTTATATTTGTTAGATCAGTATCATTGTCGGCTTGATCATTACTATTTTTATTTTGTAATGGGTGTTTCCTAACGGTTGCTTCATAATGTTGTGGATCGCTAACTAATGAGCTTGCAGCAAGAAATTGCGCAGATACAGGAATGCGCATGCCAGCTGTTTGTGTCTGATCAGTAGTAGTTGTAAAACCACGATTAGCCCAACCAACCATCCAAATACTACGACGTGCAGCTTCAGAATATGGTTCATCAAATTGTCGTACATGTGATCGCGATGGATCATCTGAACGTCCATCCCATTCCATCATAGGATTTCTATTATTATTTGTATTCATATCATTTGTATGGCTATCTGAAGTATAATAATTACGTCGATGTTGATTTGCGAGACTAACAACACTAGGTGGTTGTTGTGTTGACGATATATTAACAAAACTGCCAACAGTGGTATTATTAACACTTGATGGTGTTTGTTGAAACATAGTTTGTTGTGCATCATATGGTACCATACGCACAGGAAACACAACATATTCATGAGGTGGAACAAAAAGTGGAGCCTGTTTAAGTAAATATCGTTTATCAAGACTTATTGGTAATTCCAATTCATGTAATTGTGCACTCATTGTTTGTAATAAAGGAATAGATGTACTATCATATTTGGTATGATCATTATTTAATTCTTGTTGTTTGATATTTGTCAATGATGATGTATCAAGAAGAAGTGGAGTTATCATGGCCATAAATTCGCCATATTCAACACTTGTTTCAAACCATTTAGGTTTAAAATCAAATAATGGTTCTTGTTGATGATGATCTTGTCTAGAACAAAGTAAGATTCTAAGAGTTCATAGAAAAATTGGCATTGAAATAGGTTGATAGTGAGATAGCTGATCCTTCATAAACGACTATTAGATTTCGATGAGCTCTATCGGTTATCGGAACTATTTCTTTAATTTCACTTTGATAAACATAGAATCTATATTCTGTCGTTTTAAGTTTTTTCAAACACACAGAAGAAAATGATTATTTTCGTAACCAACGTTTTGTTTTATGATCGTCACTAGTAAAAATATGTTTAAGAAAAAAACTCTTACATATCATCCATATAATGTTGAACAATATCTCCTTGAACATCTTGTAGAATAGTTGATTCTAAAAATCCTTCATATAATTGAATAAATGTTGGGTTGATTTGTGCCCATTTTGCTTTTAATTTATCAACAATGAATTTTACTTCGGCATTATCATCTGCATTGGTATCGTGATGTTGTCGTGCAATAATTAATGTGGCTAATGCTCGCATTAATTGTTCTGACGGTGGAAAATCAAAGAAAATATTTAATACAACACGTAATAATTCCATTTCATCGGATATTAAACAACGAAATGAAGTAAGTATTGTTGCATAACTAATAATTTTCCATGAAATTTGATCTGACAGACTCTTCTGTTCAGTTTTATTACGTATGTACGTACGTAAAGCAAGTGATAAACGATCACGAGTATCTAATAGAAATAATATAATGCAAAAATCGCGAAAATAAACAAGTATTCGATCGGGTATATTTGGTAATTTATGAAAACGTAATGATTTAAGTAAAACTTTAATTGAATAAAAACTATCATTCGTTTCATTTGTTGTTTGTCTACGTCTATTATTTGTCATTGTTAAATAATCTAAATACCATTTAAGACACGATAATTGTATTCGACTTGCGGATAATAATTGAATAAATATATGTATTGTACGGTAATAAATTAAACGTATATGTGTTTCATATTTACATGCAATATCGTATTTATCGTCGTCATATGTATTTAATATTGACGAATAAATAGGTGGACATGGTAAATAATATTTCGATGATATAAATATCGGTATTGATGTGTATAAATAGATCATAGTAGCATTTAAACGTCTTAATAACATTTCTGTTAATGGTACTTGTAAAAGTGTAGCACACAGGAGAAATTGTTCTAATGTTGAAGGTAAATGTTGAATAAATGAGATGATTTCATCTTGTTTATACGAACGTTTAAGTGCAAATTTAAGATTATCTATTTGAAGATATTCGCATAATTTTGTGTAAAGTAATGCATCAACTGTAACAGCATTTAAAGGTGAATACGATGGAGATATGCGTTTTGTTGGTTTAGATGCATCGTATAATCCGTTGTGAGGTGGTAATACAGAAGCTAAACACAAGGCTGTTCGCCAATCACCAACTAATTTAGCAAATAATCTAAATAGGCAAAATATGTTGTAAAGAATAATTCAGTATTTCAGTACAAGACACACTGTCTCTGGCAGAAGATTGAAATAGCCCAACATTTTTCTTATAGATATGACTTGTGTAAGATCGATCCTGTATTAAATACTACTGATGTTTACTAGAACGAGCGTGTAGGAATATGTGTCAATCTCTGATACAGAAAGAAAGTTACGTATTGAAAAAGTGTAATATAAAAGTTAAATTATATAACTTACACAGCCTCATTTGGTGATTGGCCAAGTATAAATAATTCCAATACTTTTAATGGTTGCCAAAATTTACTCATTTTCTGTTGTTGTATAGCTAAATTTAAACGATTTCGATCAATATAAATCATTCTGTATTTTAGTCGTTCATTTATTTTTTGTGTTGTTTTAAATAAATTTGGCAATGGACACGCTGAATCAATGGAATAAATGAACAGTTGCTGTTCATCTTGATTGTCCGTTGTCATCATTGATCGAGCCATAAAACGAGCTAAAGTGCGTAGAACAGATCGTAGAGCATTGCCAGGCATACCAAAATAAGTTCGTGTGTCAATATTTTGAAATAAATTAGCACTAAACAGATCAATAGGTAGACATGATGATAAAAGAGATGTTTCACGTCGTAAAGCAACATTAAGTATGCAGACAGCATCACGAATATTATATTGTTCAAGTAGTGCATAGAGTACACGATGAAGTACAAGAGCTTTACGAGCTTCTGTTGGTGGTTTTCCACGGCGAAGTGGATGAGCTGAATTTGGCATATCAATAGAATTACGTGATCGGCGACGCTGTTTTCGGCGTTCATTTAATGCTGAGTAACCTTTTGTATGCAGGGGATGATCAACAATTGTTATAGCTGGCGGGAAAAGATCATTTAAATCAGTCTGATGACCATAAGGTAATAGGCGAATTGAGCTTAACGATGGATATGAATGAAGTATTGATTGAACGAAAAGACGAATTGTTGTTAAATATTTTGGTAAATTTTTTACATCGCGACGAAATTTTTTTTCTACTGCTAACCACAATTCGTACCATGAATGTAAAAGTGTTAAACGATTGAAATGTAAATCGCTTACCTTAAATTTTAAAAAAATCAGAAATCTTGTTTTTAGAAATGAAATTCAATAACAGATCGAATAATGTTCGAGTCAGTCATATCTCACGTTAGAGAAGTCTACTGCTAAACAACAGTTTATCGTTAAAAAAAATAAACTTGTCAATACGTTCAAACGAAGAATTTATGAAAAATATACATATGAAACTACTAGAAAAAAAATCCATGTATTCCTCATATCACATGCTCGATTATTAATTAAAAACAAAATGCCTACCTGCATATCGCCTCGTCCGTCAGGCAATTTTACAGGTAAAAAATCATCCAAATTAATATTTGTTCCTTGTAATAATTGTAATTGTTGAACTGCTTTACAAAGTTGAAATTGGTGTTCTTGTTCATCGTCGTTAGATTTTATGACTTTTTGTCTTCGACACAATTCAAATGTATTCAACGTCGTTGGTATGTATAAAACGGCTTGTAGCCATTGTTCAATAATATACAGAATACACAATTGTAATAATTCTGGATCATTAACAACAGTTGTTTGCTGTTCAAATATACCGATGAATAATGGTATAAATTTTGTTATACATGAAAGATGTAAAAAATTCAACGAGCTAAATGTCGATGATAAAACTAAATTTGTTAAACAATGTGATAATTGAATTGGCGTAAGTATATCATCCTTGTCCGATGATGTAAGTAGCGTTTGTGTTGTTCGTTCGAGACACGAACAAATTTCATGTTGAACTCGATTCGACGATGTTAATAGAAGATGATAAGCAGAGAAAACATCTTCTAATGAAAGTTCCGGTAGATCATCATTTGTTAAAGATGTTAAACTTCCATATTTTTTCGACATACTGATTTCACCACCACCGCCAATACTATCTGCATCTGAATGATCAATAGCTTTAGGAAATTCATCATACAATCTAAATATATATACATATACATATATAGATTTAGATTTAATTTGATAAAAGAAAATATTTTTTACTTTGCTTTATGAAATACTGATTGTTCTTGTTGTCTATTTAGATCCAGTAAATATAGATTAAGTAATGGATCATAAAATCTTCTATCTCGAATTTTCTGCGAATAGGTCAAACGTGCTAAACGATAACCATCGCTACAATAGATCAATGATTTATTCGTATCAGCTGCTAGTGAAAATCTTTGTTGTTTGGTTTTATCATCATCAGAAAATGGTGCAATCGATTGCATAAATGAATCTAAACCTAAATGAGTTGTTGCTTCACTATCTTTTCCAATCAATGGATGAATAATAACGAATAATGATGGACCTTGTGTTACACATTCGCCTTGTGTTATTAAATGCAATTGTGAACCAAAACGATTAAGGAAAAATAAACCGCCACGATTAGTCAAACCGATTATAAATTGATCATCATAACTCCAAATTAAATCATTGATAAAAACTTGTTGATGAGTTGGTGATGTTTTAAATGAACATTCAATGGGAATTAATTTTGAAAATGTTATTGTTGTTAAAGAAACAAACAGGACATAGCTTAGAAAACTAATAGCTAATATAGGTGATGTATGAGCAAATCGTATCGCACATGAAGATGCTGAAATCGCGATTGGTATTTGAAGAACTTCAAATGAATATGATAATGATTGTTCGGCAATAATTGTTGATTTGCAGTCAATATCAATTCGATTGATTTGGATATAACCTGATTGGTCATAGAATACAAATGCACAAATCACTGACGAACATTTTGAACGAAAAAAACAATCAATAGATATTTTATATTTATCATCATTCATTATATTAAATTGTTCATCAGTTATATTTAGATCGTGCCAAGTACCGATTTCATGTGTTGCATTATTTCCAATATGTGAACATAAGGGACTTTTTTGATGATGGCGAGTTTGTGGTAAGGGAATAACAGGCGACTTAATCCAGAGAAATATTCGATAGGGTTGTTGAAATATAAGAAGAACTTGTTCACCATTATTACTTAGAGAAATAAATGGTTTGCTTTTAATTGCTTTTACAGCATGTAAACATGATGGAATCGTTCGGATTAATTTGTCCTTATCCCAAATAGTTACTTCATAATTAGGAGAAAGAAATCCACAAAATTTTCCATTATTCGATGCACAATGTGTCAGCGATGGTTTCGATATATTTGCTATTGTTCTATTTGGTACATGATCAATTTTACCATTCGATGAATTGGCTGATTCGAATTTTTTATGTTCATTATAACATAGCAGATCTTGATCGTTAAGAAAATAAAAATACGACCAAGGTTTATCACGTTTTAGAACCACATTTTTTTCAATAGTTAATTCCAGCTTCATGATTATCTAAAATATTCGTTTATTTCTTTGGTTCGTCTTTCTATGCTTAAAATGGAAAATATCCTTGAATATAATCGCTTTATAAAATGTGCAAAAACAAATAACTAAATCAAATTTGGAGAATTAGTCAACTATGTCTAGGAAGCTTTGCATTTGTGCATATATATATATACATACATACATCTTACTATGAGCCTTACCTTGAAGTCACTAGATACGGTCACTACTCATGTGATCTCAGGTATCTCTTTTCATTTATCTTGTTCGAAGAAGCAAAAAGACATTTAGTGCGATGGAACAATATTATTTTGATTACACACCGTAAGTTTTCCGATCGAATATAAAAATCGACCATGAAATGAATCATATACTTATATAGCATTCCTGATGACAAATCGTTTATTCACGCAAAGAATCATAGAGATTTATGTATATCGATTGGTTCCGTTGGTACCATGAGCACTGATGTTGCCATAGCTCAAACAAGTGTCTGAACCGCTCTAGATGCAATCAACAGATGTCACCAAATTCCACTATGTAGAAAAAAGCTAGATTTTCCCTCTGAGAATTTCCAAGATCAAATTCTTCAAGCACGCATTCTGCAGAAATTAAATTAAAAATTTCGATTCAGTCAACTTGATTGCTTCCGTACTGAATATATTTACATATGGAAGCCACACACTAATAAATTTCTATGATGATCAAGGCAATACCGTCGATAGCAAGATACAAATACTAATTGTTTTCACACTTCTTTTTCACCACCGGATACTCTGTCAATAGAAACAAGATATCTATTAATATTTTGTTTTAGATTTCTCTTGATTCCGATGAGATGTTATCCTTGACTTGTGTTGTCTGATCAGATTTAAATCTTATTGCACAAATAATGTATTAAATACCGTGAAAAAAAAACACTAAATCTAAATTATGTTTTCTTTCCCAATTCATTACACACGCACGCACACACACGTACAACCAATTGGTTTTTTTTCTTGTTCATTCTAATAATAAGCAAACAAAATGTGAAAAAAAACGATAAGATTTTGAGTAAAATAGTATACAGAATAAGCAAAATGAGCAACAAAAGCCAATTAACCACAAACAAAAATGCACACACACACACACACAAATATATATATATATGGAGACTGTGTTAAAATGATCTCTCTCTTGACAAAATTAACTAGCATTTGTGTCTATAATCACGATGGTGACGGCACAGCTGATGTATGATAACTGTAAGTTGCATGTGGTTGTTGATTGAATAGCCAACGAGTGAAATCATCATAGTCAAATGCATTGTTGATTTCACGGCCGTTACGATCTCGATATGCTTTCATCTTGCGACAACAGAATTTAGCTTGTTCTTGTGGTAGATTCTATAAATTGAAGTATATTAATTTTATATTTATTATTTTAAATCATCCAAAATACTTACAGCAAAGAGTTCATCACGTGTGATATATGGTCGTTCTGAATTTTCTGTGAGACTCTTAAATGCCAAAACAACATCATCAATCGATGAGACATTTTCAGTTTCTCGACTGATCATGAATGTCATGTAGTCTGGTAATGTTACTGTGCCACTTCTATTAATAAATAGAATGAATTATATTACAATTAGTTTTAAAAATTTAGATCCGTGAGTTTTTCTGATCATGAATTTGTGTCGAGTTACTCTGCAGTCTTATTGAGAATGCTATCCTCGAAAGTTGTCTCTATGAAAAAAGAAAAAAAGCAGCAAACCTGTTTGGATCAACAACATCGAGTATGGATTCGAATTGTTCATCACGTTGGTTATCATCAACAGTTGGCAAATCATATCCCAATGCTCGTAAACATGATTTGAAATCTTGATGATTAAGTCGACCCAATTTTTCTTTGTCGAAGTGTTTAAACATCATAGAAAATTCTCGTACTTGATCTTCACTAACACCACTATGTTTCATTGCAGCTAGTTGCTGTTCTAAATTATGCTGCATACGCATGCCCAATTGATCTAATTGATCATAGGCTTGAGCAAGATTTAATGCGGAATATTCTGTATAACGATTGTCGAGAATAAGTCGACGTTCAAGTTCAGTGGCAAGATCTTCAAGTTTTTTCAGTTTTTGTCGTTGTTGTCGAAGTTCATCAACTTTTTGCTATAAAAAAAAATAAAATTCAATCAAAATGGAATCAATTTCTAGATGATTTTTTTACTTTAATTGTTTGAAGTTGTTGTTCAAGATTACCATCAGCATTCATCATAGATGATCTAAAACAATGAGTAATTAATTTTTGAAAAACTAATCTACAATTATACATACTCAATGCCGCGTAGCCATGTGTGGAAAGCATTAGCATATTCAGCGAAATGTTGTCTTAATTTATCATTTTCTTCTTGACGTTTCTTCTCTAATTGAAGATCACCATCACGATCCTAAAGAGGAATTTTTAAAATTTACTCACAACCTTTAAGGTCAATATTTTCATACTCGAATCAATTTTTCTAAACTTTTCCATGTATCAAAAAGTGTTTCCATGGTAAACCATGTATATGGATTAGCAGCCATATTCAATGATTTAATACTATCGTCGGATGCTTTAAGTTCATCGAAGTCATAACGAGCTTCTTCAAGTACAGTTTTAAATCGATCGTGAGCATCGATTAGAGCCTTTGAAAAGAAAAAATAAATAAAAATTTTAGTTTTAATCAGCAAAACATACTCGAATTTCTTCTAATGAATTGCATTTAACTGGATCGGTAAGATCTTCTTCGGCGTTTTCAAACCATGAATTAAATGCTGATGCTTTTTTGGCAAAGCGTAAGAATAATTCTTCAATATTACGGAAACGATCTTCCGCTTTTTTCAATTTTTCACGTCTTAATCCACTTGTTTGTAATAGCTTTTGCCAACTAAAATAAAATTTGTTTTTGAAATTATTGTTTCATCAAATTATGTTTCTTACTTGTTCCAAACAAGTTCATAGCGCGCTTGGATTTTCTCGCGTTGTTCATTGGATGAATTAGCATGATTAGTGGATACTAATTCCTCTTTGAGGTCAGTCACAGAACGAATGCCTTCATGTTCAAAATTATTTAATCCAGCTTCGAATGTTTCATGACGTGTAAGAAGATTTTGCACGGATAAAAGATTATGACCCAAATCATCAGTTCGTAATTGATGAAGTTTTTCACCTATACAATGAAAACAAAAATACCATTTAAATGCAGAGAAACAAACATGAATATGGATTCCTAATCATCTCTTGAAAGAAAACTTATTCTCCAAGGTTAAACAATTACACGATAGTCGGCGAAATACATTAAAGAACTTGAAAAGTGCTATAGAATTTCCCTAGTGAATTCAAAATAATTGATTTTTTTTTCGTCAACTGAATTGTGGTGGTAGTTAATAATCTGTGATCAAATTTTAATGCTGAGTGATCATTAATAATACGCTATCTCAAACTATACTTCATAGATTAGATTGTTGCTTATTCTAAAATCCGCTTCAAAACGGCTGAACCGAAAAACTGAGTTAAACAATATTCACAATTGTTTTTTTTAGATGTACTTCGCGTAAATTTCTTCTTCTCCTCCTACTCAACTCTAGAGCAAAGCTTGTTATTTTAAAAGAATAACAAAACTCAAACTGACGACTTATGATAAGTATGAATATCCACCTGTCAATATGATCTAAAGAGTCACTTACTGATCCAACTTTCAACAACATCAGCTTTCCACATAAATTGAAGAAGTGAAGCATTTTCTAGTAGACGATATTTATGTCGATTGGCATCAGTTTCTAAACGTTTCAATGCATCTTGCAAGTAATTGGTTCGATCATTGATTTGTGGTGACAAGTGATTGTCCTACGAAGCAAAACATATTCATTAATTTCTTGAAGAAAAAAAAATATTAATCTTACTTGTTCCATTAATTTTTGTCCTTGTTGTAAAATTTCTTGGCAACGTTCTTTTTGTATAATAAAATCAGCTTCAAACGATTCATGTTTCTTTTGTAAGGCTTGTACAGCAACCAAAGTTGTACCAATATCAGGATTATTAATAACATGTAAACGTTCTTTAATCCAAGCATTTTCTTCATCTAGACTTGTTGCCCAATTATGATATGTTAATGATTCATCAAGTTTCTTTGTTCGATCATCTGTTGCTTGTTTTAATGTTTCCCAATGGTTGAGTAAATCTTTACATTTACGTTCAATATCAGGATTTCCAACTTCATCAGTTAATTGTGAGCCTAATTGTTGAAGATTTTGTACATTTGGTTGATGAGATCCAAGATCGACTTCAAAGCGTTTATGTTTACGACGTAAATTTTGACTTTGATTGAAATCACGACCATAGTCATCACTGGTAACGAGTAATTTCTTTTCTCTAGAAAAATAAGAGCAAAATTAAATAAATCGTGGTGATAACGATGGATCATACTTTAGTTGAGCTTCTTCATCTTCAAGATCACGAATAAATTGATGAACAGTTGATGCTTCTTGTAAACGTTGACGTCGACCATCACTTTGATTGCGAACTCTGAATAGAAAAATATTAATTCAACTATTGAAATTTTTCATTGAAAACGAACTTTTCAAAACGATCATTGATTGAATTTCGTGTTTCTTTGATATTATCAACATCGAACATATTGTTTTCAATAAATTCATCAGCAGTTTTGTTTAATTCAATAATAGCACTCTGAAAAGAAAAACGAACACAATTATATATATATATATATATATTGTGTGTTGGGAGTTCAAGCAACGATGAGTGTTAGGTTTGTAAAATTTAATTAAGAGAACTTCTTTCTCGAATTGGCATACTCGTGAAAATGTTGTCTAGAAGTTGTGATCTGCCATGAAATTGTCACCATAGAGGTTTCATACACCTTACTCATTTTCCTTAGCATAACTCTCTCATAGATACCCAACAGGACAATGTCAATAGGAAAAATTCAGGTGCCTATTTCCAAATTCTATAAAGTACCTCATGATTAGTAATATCATTTTCAAGTAATTGTTGTTTTTTGAGCATATTTTGTACGGATGTCAAGTCTCGGCCAACATCATCATTCACCAATTGATTTTCAATCTAAACAAAGCGGGAAAACGATTGTGATCGATCCAAAAACAAATCTCATAACATACTTCGCCAAGCCAAAATTCAACATCTTTAACACCAGCATTAAATGTCTGTTGTCGTGATGCTTCTTTTAATTTCAAACTCTTGTCGGATGATTTTTGTACAAGAAATTCCCATTGTTCAATGATTTGTTGTAAACGATTATCAACAGTTGTTTCAAGACCAGCACATTTACGTGAATCAATAAGACCTTTTCAAAATGCCAAAACAAATAAAATACAAATTTCTCTTCAAAAACGTTTCCGTACCTTTGCCCATGCCAATAATCGATTGAATACGATCAGTATTAGCTGCTAATTCAGCAACAAAAGCTTGATGTTTTTGACTCTTACTCTAAATAAAACGAAGCAAATCCATCATGATCTTACTATTAATAAAAAGATAGTAATGTATGATTTCATGCAAGATTGTTGCATCATGCTAAAAAATGCACTAGCACACACGAAATGCACGCTCATCCAAAATGGCAAATAACTCTGCGAGTAATTCTCATCCAATTCAATATCACAGACAAATACAAACAGGAGACTTACTTGTATTTTTTTAGCCTAGGTATATATATATATATTTATTTATTTACAGATGTTTTTCCAAGTTTAGATCTTTATTCATTCTATTTTGGTCTACCACCAAACTCTTGAATCAATTAGAACTGTTTACTTTCTCTTCTTACCTGTAAATTTTGTGTTTCTTTGACGGGTTCATCAGAAGCAGCAGCTAATTTATCGGCAATCCAAGCTTCAATTTCTTCAGCATCTCTTGAAAAGTCTTGTAATGTTTGAGATTCGCCAAGACGTGAACGATATTCCATCATGGCTTGACGAAGACGAGTCCAACGATCAAGTACACCTTGTAGACGATCATCAATGCCAGCTTTCTCATAATGATCTTGAGATACTAATTGATTTGCAAACTGTTTCAAGTTGTTGATTTTATCTTCCTAAAATATACGTCAATGGTATGATCTCATCTGTTTATTGCTTCACACTGGTGACAAATGATTTCATAAGGGACGATTTACCGCCACACATTTTCATTATATTATAAAACTTACTTGAGCTTTGATAGCTTTATCGAAATCTTCATGTCGTTTAATAGCTGCTTCAACAACTTCGACGGCTTCATCTTTTAAAGCTTTTTCTCGACTTTCCATCCATGTTTCAGCTGTATCACAATCACGATAAAACAATTGAAGTTCTAAAAATTAAAGAAAAAGCAAAACATACGATCTTTTCATTCTGATAGATATTTTTTTTCATACCAAGACATTCATCTAATTTATCTTGTCGTTCTTTCCAAGCACTAAAATGGAATTTTTTGTTTCTTTCTTATTTCGAATTATCAAAGATGTAAAACTTACGTTTCAAGATGTTGTCGAATTTCATCCATTTCCAATAATCTTTGTTTAATATCTTCACCAGCAAAATGTTCAGCATTGATAAGATCATTACCGAAATCTTCAAATGCTTGAAATGCACCTGAACGTGCATCGATTTCAGAACGATGTTCATGATGACGTTCAAGTAAAGCTTCAGCGCCTGGGACATCACGTGCAAGTTCATCCGATGATATTTGTTGAATAATTGATTTAATAATAGCAGCTAAATCGCGGAAGTCAGTTAAAAACTTTTGATAATCATAATCATCTAATAATTTTGCCTAAAATCGAAACCGACAAATATTGTATCAAAACAAGCTTCTAGCAACAAAACAAATTCATACTTTATGTAAATCAGCTTTTGATGTTAAATCAGTCCATTGATTTTGAATAACTTGTTGTTTTTGAATAATAACATCAGCTTGTTCGGGATGTGAAGTAATCAAACGTTTTGTAAGATCATCTAAAAATACAAATAATGATTAAAAAAGAGCAATGTTTTTTTTTCAACAAACCAAGTTCACGGATTTTATCGCCAAGTGCATTAAGATCACGTTCATATGCTTCATGTTTCTTTTGTAAACGTTTAACACTACGTAAATCTTGTCCGAGTTCATCTGGATCGAGTTGTTCGAATTTTTCACTGATCCAATCTTGTGCTTCTTCAGCATCGCGTGTGAATCGTTGAACTTCATATGCTGATAATAATTGTTGTTCGCGTTCTTCAGCATTCTTTTTCAAATCGTCCCATTTACGATTCAAATTATTGATATCGACTTGAATTTTAAGTGCAGCATCTGTACGGCCCAATTGAAGAAGTTTTTCAGCAATCGAATTAAGACGAACGAGACGTAATTCATTTGTACGTAATTCTTTTTGAAATTCATCAAAACGACGTTGAAGTTCTTCGACATCATCAGGTCCTTTACCAAGAGACTCTTCAGATGCAATGCGTTCTTTATCATTGATCCATACGACAAGATCAGCAGCTTCACGCATTAATTTATACGCATCCGATGATTCAGCTAAAACAAATAATTCTCATATATGACCATATCGAATTGACAAAAGTTTGCCTGAAAACTTTAGAAGTAACTGTCTCTATCTTGTTCATCACAAGTTTTGGATTTAGTCCTTAAAGTATCATTTTCAAGCAAACAGCTTCGTACCAGGTCACTAAAACCATAATCCTCAGTTACACATAACAAAAGAACTCTCCAAAGTGCAATCATTATCTTAACGCTTGGGATTCTATTTACATACGAAACCCGATAAGTAGCAAAACAAAATTCTTTTGTTTCGCATCGATGTCATCTACAATTTATATTGAAAATATCTTACCAAGTTTATCTAATCGTTGTTGACAAATATTCAATAAGTTAGCATATTGTTTTTCAATTTGTTGCTGTCTTGAGCTAACTGTATATTCATCAAGACGATCTTGTTCATTAACTGACATTGGATCCTTTTCAATTTTCTTTAAATATGTTGCTGGTACGAAACCTTGTCGGTCATTTAATTCAACTTTCCACCAATCTTTATTCGATGAATTAAGTAATATAAGCGTATCGTTTTTTTTCATTGAAATTTCTCGTGGTGTTTTTTCAACATAATCATAAAGACCGAGAACTTTTTGTCGTTGACCTGTTAAGACATCTTCGGCAACAAGTGCTTTTTCTGGTTGATGACATTTTTGAGCTTTTTGGCGAAGTTCTTCTAATTCAGTTTGTTCAAAATCTTTAATGTCATTGAATAATTGTTGATGTTTTTTATATAATGCATTGCATGAATCTTCATCACGGCCATAATCAGTTGATTGTGCGACGGGCTCTTTTTCACTAGAAAAATCAAAAAAATATCACTACTGGGAATTTCAACACAGTATATACGATCATACGTAACAGAATTTCTGAATAAATGCTAAGGATTTTTCTATACGGTAGTATTGAACAGCTATCAATGAATTCCTACATAAACGATTGTATCGTATTGCATTCGATAGTACAATCAGAGGAATCTTATCTATTTTTTCTCGTAGAAATTTCATCTGTTATGGGACAACTTCGATACTTTACATTTCAATATTGACTTACTGAATCCATGATTCAACTTCTTTAGCATCACTAAAGTATTGTTGTGCTTGTAATGAATCTTCTAAATCATGTTTTCTTTGTACGGATACTTCTTTCAAGTTTTGCCATTTCGTTTGTAAATTAACAATATGTTTTTTAATTTCAGCCGATGAAAAATGACCTAATAAATACACAATTACTCACTAAAACTAAGAATTCATAATTAAAAATAGGTTCTACCTTGATTTATCATATCTTCTCCTTCATTACAAACTGTACGAATTTGTGATTCATGATTCTGTAATTCTCCCATTAAAGCTTGATGTTTTCTTAATAAATTTTGAACACCAATTAAATCTCGACCACGATTTGTTGACATGATACTTGGTTCTTTTTCTCTAGAATATTTCAAAAACAAAACACAGAAAGCTTCGTGAATTGATTTCTTCAAAAATCTATTTACCGAATCCAAGCTTCTTCAACTTCAATATTATGTAATAAACGTTGAAATTCTGCTGATGCATCTAATTTTTCTTTCTTTTGTTTCAATGGATCTAATAATGATTGAAAGCGTGTCACAAGTTGTATTTGTTTTTTCAAGATATTGTTCGAATCGAAATGACCAATTTGTTGAAAATGTTCAGCATCTTTTGATAATTGATCAATACGATCTTTCTTTAATGAAAATTCATTTTCCAGTAATTGTTGTTTCTTTTGAAAATTTTGTACTGATGTCATATCTTTACCAAAATCATCATTGGTTAAAGTATTTTCAACATCATTAATCCACATATCGATTTCTTCTAAGCCACGTGTAAATGCCTGTCCATCAGTAGCTTCTTTTAGACGATCGGATTTTTCATTAGCTGCTTCAACTAATTTATTTAATATATCTTCCAATTCGGTTAAATGTTGATTTATATTTTGTGTTTGTCCATGTTGTTCATCGATTAACTTTTGCCCTGTTAATATAACAGAATCCATTTTGGGTTGATATGCAGCCAATTCATTTAAAAATTGTTGATGTTTTTGACATTTAATATTAATATTAGCTGTATCTAAATAATCACGAGTTAATGCCATTTTTAATTTTTCTTTTGCCCATAATTTTAACTCGTCACAGTCACGTTCAAACGTAAAATAATTAAGTGTATTTTGTAATGAACGACGTTTTGTATTAATTTTTTCTAATAAACTAATACGAGATTGATAAAGTAAATCAAGTTTTTCTTGAATTAAATCAGAATCATAATGTCCTGCATTAAGAAGATCACGGCCAAACTCATCTAAAGCTTTGCCTAAAACAAAACAAAAAATAAAAGTGTAAATGACGAACATATTTCGAGTTTATCGTATGCAGATAAATGAATGTTTCTCTGTTCAGAAGAAACTACTCAAAGGATAGTTTATGAGGATACCCTGTGGAAACAATGGCCTAGTATCCAGACGCATTGAAACTAGGACAATCATCATTTGGCCTTACATAGAGAATATTTTTATTTACCTTTTTCTTCTTGCGCCTGAAGTAATTTTTCGAAATCATCATATTTTTTAATTAGACCTTCACAATCATCTAACGTTTGACATGAATCAATATCATTAATATTTTGTACTAAATATTGATCTTGTTTTTGTATCCATGTCAACGCTTGATCAATATCACGTAAAAACAATTGTAAATGCATACAATCTTGTAATAGCATTAAACGTTGTGACCATAAATGATCTAATTTTCTTTGTTGATCAAGTAATTCTTGTAATTTAAATTCAATTTCACTTTTAGCATAATGATCTTGTTCAATTAATTCATTGCCAATACGTTGTACATTAGCAAAACTATCTTTACGTGCATCGATTTCACCTTTGAATTCTGAATGGCGTTCAACTAAAGCCTCAGCACCTGATACATCTTTAGCTAATTCGTCAGATGATAATTGAGCTTCCATATCTAATGCCCATGACATTAAATCACGAAATTCAGATAAAAAACGATGTAAACGAAATGATTCATTCAAAACAGTTTTTCGTTCATCGGACTAAAAACAAACATTGAAGATAAGTTTATTTATTTATTTTTATTCAATTTACTTTAGCACGTAAATCGTCCCATGCTTGGATCATATCATTTAGACGTTTATCAATTTGATCAGCACCTTCGGGTACATCTTCTTGAATACGTGCGCCATCTTTACGTAAATTCTCAACTTTCTCTTGTAAAACAGAGATATCTCGTTCAACGTTATCATGTTTACGTTGAAGATTTTGAACACTTTGCAAATCTTTACCAAAATCATCCGATAAAACAAATGTTTCCTAAAGAAATAAAAATATACGAATGTCTTTTCTTTTTTTCAAGCCAAAAAAAGACTTTACTTTATCACGCATCCAAAATATAAATTCATCACAATCACGAAAGAATTGTTCTAATTTGCGTGCTAATTGAAGACGAGCAGATTTTTCTTGTAAACGTTTTAAAAGTAAATCCCACAAACGATGAATTTCATCAAGACGTCCCTAGAAAGAAGAAGAAATAAAAACATTATAAAAGAAATAAAAGTAGCGTTTTGTATATTAACCTGAATAGCAGCTGATGCAAAATGATCACGAAAAATTTTTGCTGCACCTTCTTCATCGAGTCGTACTACCGCATTGTAATGGGCTGTGACTTCTTCTTCAAATGCTTCATGTTTTTGTATTTTTACCTAAATATGAAGATATTATTCATCATAGATTTCTTTTTCTCTCTTCGATTTTTTTATTTACTTGAACACTTGTTGTATCGCGATATGTATCGTCTTGTGAACATAATTGTATTTTTTCATTGATCCATGTTTCAAGTTCATCAGCATCACGTTTAAAATATTGATATTCTCGTGAATCTTCAAGTTTATCCCGACGATATTTAGCTGCCTCTTTAAAATGTGCAAAACGTGCAAGAACTTGTTCACGTCTTGCTTGAATATCTTCAGGAGTTTCGAGAAGTTGAATTTCTCGACCGTCAACAACATCGCCTATATCAGTCATCTATCACAAAGAAAAAGAAAAAAAAGGTAAACAAGTAAATATAAATAAAAACAATGATAAAATTTTATTTACGTACTGCATCTCCATTTTGTTTATCGTTAGTCGATTCTTCTGTTGATCGATGAAGTTCATCATCACCAACAGTCGCATGACCATTTGTAGTAACATGTCCAGGTTGTTCTAAATCCATTTTTCAATAAATGCGCATCTATCTGTAAATAAGAGTTCAGATCTGTAAAAGAAAGAGAAAAAAAACAAGCTCTATTGTATACGCCTATCGCAGACACGACGAGGGCAAAAAGAAAGAAAAAAAGGAACACTGACAACGGCCATATATTCTGATCACATCGTTTGTTCGTTCTATTCCATCTTCTTCCTCGACCAACCAATCAACCAACCAATGCACACAACTCTTTTCTGTTTGAGGCGAACAACCGCGTTAGTTGTAGCGGCTGCGGTAGGGGGCACAGTCGATTTCGAATGACGACGAAGAGAAGAGAAAAGAAAAGAGAACAAGAACGAACGAGCCAGCTTAGCTTATATGCGAGGAAAGAAACAATTTTTCTTTTTTCTTTCTTCTTCTTCTTCTGGTCTTCATCGTAGTTGAACTAAGATAAAAATGAACGGTCACTGTTCGATATACTACTAACACATCCATATCTATCTCATATAGATCGGATGTAAAACTAAAGAAAATAACTTATTGGATAGAACGCTTTGTATTGCGTTTTTTCGACATAGGAACAACTAGTTTCTTTTCTGTTCTATCACTGATGTCGACTCCGTGGCGCAACGGTAGCGCGTCTGACTCCAGATCAGAAGGTTGCGTGTTCAAGTCACGTCGGGGTCATTTTTTTATTTTTTTCGACAAAAAAAAGAATATAGCTGATATGTTACCTTAGGAATAAAATATCATCGTAACTTGCATATTATCTACGTTTTTATCAAATATAAATGAAATTGAATGAAAAAGTGATTTTTTTTGCTCGGTATCCAAATCACAAGTAACGCGACGTAAGCGTCGCTAATCCTCTACTGAAATGGGTGACTATGTTTGATAAATAATAAACACGTAATACAAGTTTTGGCATAAGAATTCAACAATGCTATTTTCCATGTCTTTCTGTAGTGATAAGTGTATCCAACGTATTAGCTATTGTGTATAGATGGATGTGGATTGTTGGATGACTTTTTATTTAGATTCAATTACTAAAAATCTTTTAATAAACCAAAGGTTCATGAGAAATCTATTCTGTCGTTTTGAAACCTATAAATAAGAATACCGTTTGAATTAGATTTTATCCTTACAAGCGATCCAAATATGAAATTATTGCTAAACG